TAGTAACTATTGTGTCTTCTCTCCAGTGGCATGAGAAAGTCTTTTGTTTAGAAAAATGTGCCTTGAATTTCAATAACCTTAAACCACTTTAGATCGTCAGCTTCACACTTTCTCCTGTTGGAACTCTCACTCCTTTATCTCACGAGTGAACAGGTTGCAGGTTGCTTGGTGCTTGGGAGTGGGAGCAGGGAGGTAGGAAGGGAACCAGCTTAGCAAAGTATGGGACACTTATCTGAGAGAGCTGTTTCTGTCGCTGTTTGGTCCTGGGAAGGACAGACCCTTTCCCTGAGCTGAATTTTCTGAAACTCAGCAGATACCAGATGGTAAATTTGCATAAAATCAGAATTCAGTGCGGTTCAGAGGTCTTTCTTTCTTTCTTTCTTTTTTAAATATTGGCACCTGAGCTAACATCTGTTGCTAATCTTCTTTTTTTTTCCCCTTCTTCTTCCCAAAGCCCCCCAGTACGTAGTTGTATATTCTAGTTGTAGGTCCTTCTGATTGTGCTATGTGGGACACCGCCTCTGCATGGCTTGATGAGCGGTGCCATGCCCGCACCCAGGATCTGAACTGGTGAAACCCTGGGCCGCTGAAGGGGAGCGTGTGAACTTAACCACTTGGCCACAGGCCCGGCCCTGGTTCAGAAGACTTTCACCCACAGGGTGTGGATTCTGAAGGGGTCTGTGAAGGAGTTTCAGGGACTATTGAACATTCTCCCCTACCCTCCTAAGATTGTGTATAAAATTGTGGGTCTGTGCACCTATTTTTCTGGAGTGTTTTTATCAGATTCCAAAAGGTTCCATGATCCAAAACAGGTTAGGAACCTTCCTCTTGGTAGACCTCCCCCTTACCCTCCGTGGTTACCACACTGCCTAGCACGTGCCTCAAGTGCACACCGTGATGTCGTACTGCGAGCATCTGACGTGGATTAATGCGTATAATCCTCACAGCACTCTTAGGAGGTGGCTACCACTCGTATTCCCAATTTACAGTTGAGGAAGCTGAAGACCAGGAGGCGAAAGGCCTTGACCAAGGGCAACGCCTAAAAGGTGTCAGGGACAAAACAAAAAAACTTGAAGCTGGGGGAAAAATAAACTGTCAGGTTCAGGAGTGTGTGAGAATTTTCATGCCATAAAGTTTTATGGTTTTTACTTCATTGTTATGTGGATAATGCTGGGCTGGGCTGGTGCTCAAAAGGCTCAAAAGACCGTGAAGAAAGACAAGCATCAAAAAGTAGCACCACACAGAGAGTTCTGCAAAGATCGAGCGAGTCGCACGCTGGCAAGTCTTGGCTCTACGTGCTCGGTTTGTGAAAAGTGGAAGCTCGTGCGTGGCATGAGAAGTAGGTGGCTGTGCCGGCGAGTTGGAGATGTGTCCTCTTCCCAAAAGCTGGAATAAACACTGTCATTCTGGTGTGCTATTTATTTTGAGGAATTTCCTATTCATTTGGGTGCCCGGTAACACATGCCAAGTAGTTCTGTTATTTCAGGCTTATTTTAATGAAAACATTGCCAATTACTCCCACGTTCCCTTTCCCAAGCAGCAGCCGCCGAGAGCATGCTCATTGAGCAAGCTTGGGTGTGCAGCTGGTGCAGAATTAATCCTGTGGTTTAATTCTTCCACTGGCATCTTGTGCAGCGAGAAGGGAGTCAGCTTGTGCCTGACTCTCAATTTAGCCTCTCCGCTCTCAGAGTGCTGTGTCTCGTGCGAAGCCCAGCTTTGGGCTGATGTTTTTTTCCCCGGCAAATTTATAAGGTGTCACGTTGGTGGAGGAGCAGCCCCTGTGAGTCTGCTGCAGTTTTTGAATGACATTTCAAAGATCACTCTGAAGTCCCTCTTTATGTCTGGTTTTCACTTTGACATCTAAATCAAGCAGCATCTATTAACCCCCAAAGAATGAACCTTGTTAAAAGCTTGCAGTGTCATTCCTCTGAGTTCTGCCTTCAGGGAAGACACAGCAGCTACATATTGACGTTATTTCCTTAAGTGAATCACTAGTAATGGGTCTGATTTAAAATATCCAAGGCTCCAATGAGAATTATACACAAAAGAAACAGATTGTATCCTCAGGTCTCTAGATCTAAGGTTATTGGGCAAAGTTTTTGCCACACAGTAGGCATATGCTTTTTATTAAGAATAAAAAATGTAAAGCATTTGGTATAAATCAAAAGTTAGTCAAGGAAATGCTACCTGCTTATTCTTGTTTGTAGTAAGAGTGACAGCACTTAACAAATCCTTTTCTGATAAAAATCTGAGCACCTGGCGATTCCTAGAGCATCTAATCTGGGATAACAGACCCGAGACTCAGAGAGGTTACGTGACTTGCCTAATGTTTACTCAGACTCGGACTAGAACCCAGGTCTTTGGAGCCTTTGCTGATGGTCTGAATTGCCTCCAAATACTGACTTTGAGGGTAGGGCCAAGGCAGTGCAGAGGGGCGTTAGTGGGAGGTGACTTGTCCTCCTCTTGGGGTTATTGGTGCCCAGCACATCTGAGGAGAGTGCCACAAACACTTCTTCAGGTGAGCTCCCTTCCATGGGAGACATTTCTCTTCTTTTGTTTTGGAGAAAGATTAGCCTTGAGCTAATGTCTGCTGCCAATCCTCTTTTTTTTTTTTTTTGTCTTGTGCTGAGGAAGATTGGTCCTGAGCTAACATCCTTGCCCGTCTTCCTCCACTTTATATTTGGGACGCCTGCCACAGCATGGCTTGCCAAGCAGTGCTAGGTCCACAACCGGCATCCGAACTTGTCAACCCTGGGCCGCCAAAGCCCAGCGAACCCTTGGCTGCCAATGTGCGAACTTAACTGCTGTGCCCCTGGGCCGGCCCCAAGACATTTCATCTCAAATGCTGCCCAGCAGGACCCCACTGAGATGTGAAACTGTCAGATGATTCAGTGATTATAACTACAGTGATGTGGTTTATTGCACCTTGTTGCATGCCAGGTGCACTTTACATACACCATCCCATTTAAGGTAATTCTCATGATCACCCTGAGCCAGGTGTCCTCATCCCGTTTTCACTGGCGAGGAAGCAGGTTCCAAGGGCTCACGTCTAACATGGTGTGCCCGGCACATAGAGGGACCTGGGGAAAAGAGAAGGTAAGTAATGGACCCAAAGGAACATGGCTTCCAGCAGGATTTGAACACACTTGTCTACTTACTCAGCCTAAAGGGCCTCTCTTGGGAATTTTCAGCCGCCTTCTGCCCCTACAAAAGTTCACAGGCCAAGGAAAGGGAGGGAGGTCCCCTTCTTCATCTAAAACCCCAGGTTCTTTGCCGATCCCTTGCCCCTATCATGAACACCTGTGCATAGCAACGTCTGGGTCATTTGGGAGACAACCCATGAGATGGTTCTGCAGAACTGTGAAGAAGTGTGGGGTACCCGTCATAGGTGCATTCTAAGAAGACTCGAATTAGAGAGTCCTGCAGACCTGTGATCAAACCCTGACTTCATCATGTCCTGGCTGTGTGACCTTCGTCAAGTTCCTTAACCTTTCTGAACTTGTTTCCTTTTGTATCAGTGAGAATAGTAATATTTCCCTTGTCAGGTTGCTGTTAGGGCAACACAGAGCCAGAGCTCAGTAAAGGGAAGTTGTTGGGAGTGTGGCTGTAGTGGTGATATAGATTACACGGCTGTTCCCGGGGCCCTGGGCATGCTTCTCACAATGGTTTGCTTCAAAGATTGAGGTAGATAGTTACATATTTTATTACAAAAGTCACATGTGCTTATTGTATAATATTCAAGCAGATATGTTAAATAAAATCCTCCATAACCCCCCCTCCAGAAAACACTTGACAATTTGGATGTTGTGTTGTTCCCGATTTTTCGCTACGCGTATATTAAAATACGCACGCAGGCTTTGCTGCTTTTTGTATGAGAGCATGTGTCTTGCGATGTGGATGGTTTGCTTGTTTGCTTTCCCCACCTGATGATGCGTACCAGTCATTGTTCCAGATCAGGATGCTCAGCTTTGCCTTTCCACCTAATGACCGTGCTGCACTGTCTGGCGGGCTTGCTGTTTCACACCATGATTTTAGCTCTCATCTCTGCAGGGTCCTGTCGGCCATCCATGACCCTGGCCTAGGGCGCCTGGAAGAGCAGTTTTCTATGAAAGTTGCATTTCTTCCTTTCCTCCTCGTTATCCGGTGCTCCCACCTCTTCAGTCCACTTGCTTTATGTATAATACATGCATGAGACCGACTGGGGGGCTCTGTCCTCCGGCCCTTGCAAATTGGCTCTGACAAGACCAGGAAGGAATGGTGAGCACTCTGGGTCAGGAGGTTAAGTGACATCATTAGGGTCACGCTGGTGGCTCAAGGCATCTCTGGGGATGGAACTCAGCATTCAGCCAAAAACCCCAGCTTGCTCTCAGCTGCCCTCTACCTTCCACCCCTCTCTTCCCTGGCGCATCTCTGTTTCCTCCCCCGGGAGCTTTCAATTACTGCCCCCCACACACACACACCCGTCACACCTCTGCCCTTGACCTTCTGCTCCGTCTCCGCTCCCTTCTGCTCTTTGCCCTCTCGTGATGTATTTCAGCGAAAGCACCGAGACTATAATGTTGTAGCTCTGTTAATAGACCGTCAAAGGTGTTAGTAAAGCAGGTAAGGCTGTTTCCATGCCATTGTTTTCGTTTATATTTTACAGGGAGCAGGTGGAGCTGGAAAATGAAGATAAGTGCCCTGCCAGTGTTTACTGCAAACAGTGTCCTGTATCTGACTGTGATATTTTAAGCTTGATTACCTACCCTGGTTGATATGTTGCCTCTAAACTCACTGGCATCTCTTGGCTTCATCATAACATGGCTCAAAATACACACTTCTGTGTGAGAGGGTTCAGCTAAAATAAGCACCGAGAGGCTATTGATAGCAGCAAAGGTGGGAAATAAGATGGGACGTCGGTGCTCAGAGCTGCCGCTAACGGGACTGTTTAATCTACTGGATGCCATGTGAATGCTAACGTCTTGTTTCTGCTCTGTTCCCTCATGCCTTCCCGGATTCAGAGAGAGGTAACCAAGCGATTTTCACTTCTCCCTCTTTGTGATGTCTCAAGTGTCTGGCAGAGCTCACTTGCTTTCTTCATGCCATATTGCCATCGTCACAGCCGTCATTGTCTGTGAAAGGCAGAACTTTTTTGTTTTGTGTAACCTTTTATCATCATCGTTCTTATGTGTCCTACATTTCAAACAGAGCATGGAGCTGCAACAGGGTCCCTCATCCTCTGTTGCGTGTGACCCTGTTTGGGACGAAGGTGATGGGCAGAGTGATGAAGTGTAACGGGAAATTGGTCACTCGCGCTGATGGCTGAGAGAAGTCTTATCAGTGTGCTAGGGAGCACACGTGATGGAAGTATTCAGGTTATGTGCCATGATGTGTAAGGAGGCTTGTCATGCTTCTTGAAGAATTAATTGTAGGACTGGCTTACCTTACGTATTCTCGGGAGTTTCATTGGTAAGGTTTGGCCCTCGGCTAATAGCCAGAGGACTGACTCAATTTCAGTCTCGATTACTAGCCAAAATATATGCAATTCTTCTCCTCCCTTCCCACATCGAGAGGAACGGAACTATGGAAAGGACATCACTCCGGCATGAGAGGTATTGATACCTCGGGTGTGTGTTTCCGCGCTCTGAATGTCAGCATGCCCATTTGGCTGATTGGGGGCTTTGAGCTCCACTATTCCATAGCTCTGTCACTTAATAAAAGCTTCATTTTGGATGGAAGAAGAAAGTTTTGAAATTTTTCTCCTTTAAAGAATGGTCGTGGTTACTGCTTGGCAAAGTGAAGAGAAACACAGGCAGTCGCCTCTTTGTGTTAGAGTCGATCTCAGGTGAACCCCTGCCTGGTGGGGTCCCAGCTGTCTCCAGCTGAGCACCGTTTTCCTCCGTTAGGATGAGCTGCTGTCATTGCTCAGTGGGGAGGAGGGGAAGGGGCACAGCATGGGGGTAAGGCTTCTAGGATCGGTCTTCCAGAGGGTATGATTAGGAGACTTTGCTAACGTGACTGACTTTTTTACTTATCTTTGAGGAGGCCCTGGCCTCTGGAGGTGGTGGAAGGTTCTGGAGGTTGAGGGCTACGCGTTTGGATGTGAGCTCCCCTATCTAAAGCAACAACAAGTCCTATCTGTGCCGACGATGAGGATATTTTCAGATATTTGCTGGTTCCTACCCTTTGTGTTTATTCAGGTCTCCTCACCAGGAAACAGTTGCTCTGAATATTAACAGCTGGATTCTATTCTAGAGAGGGCTACAAATTCTGGTCCACCCAAGCCACCTGGATTATTTGTAGGTGGTGGAATTTCAAATCTGCTTTCTACACAGTCTGTGCGTTTGGTGAAGGATTCCTTGTGGAGATGTGTGTTTGCCCAGACGATGACTTATTGGGATGCCATCTGCAGGGGGCATCGCAGTAATTTAGCATCTTCAAACTTAGCATCTTCTTAAGCTTGCAAAGGAGGAGAAAGAAAGTTGAGTTTACCGACCTAGAGCCTGAGCTTTGTGAAGTTGGTGACACTCACATATGGTACATGTGCTCCTGGGTAAAATTAAAACAGCAAAGTCATGTGTGTACCTTTCTGGATTGGCCATCTAAGAAGTCGACATTTCTCATCCCCTTTCTCCATCTTGCCTCCTCCCACCCCCAAAACAAGATTTTCAAAGTACAATCAGAAAATAAGAGCAGGTAGGCAAAGAAGAGCCGACAGTCTTGAAAACAGAACTCCTTCTCCCTCCAGGCCCTGTGCAGGTGAAGCAAAGAGAAGAGACAGCCCCTTGGCATAAAGGGCTGGAGACGGAATGTCTGTATCAAATCTCTGTGCTGCCCCCTTGTCCTTATTTGGAGAGGGGACCTGCCCTCTGCAGTAGTGACAACTCTGGTGGCTTGTAGCTTCTACAGAAAGATAAGCTGGGAGGAAAGTGTCTTTAGGTTCATTTTAGCGAGTCTAAATATAATTCATATGAGTGCAAGTAGTTATTAAGACATTCCTCATGGATAAGGAGAGTATTTCAAAGTGGGCTTTTTCTTTGACTTCTTTTTCCTCATTTATAATAGTAACTACTGTTAATCGAATGCCTATCATGTGCCAGCCTTGACAAATGCCCAGCATCAAACATAATATGTGCTTGACCTGAGCAAACACAAATTATGTGAAAGACATTATCAAACTGTGGAGACTTGCTAAGGAATGCTAACCAAGGCGAGTTGTTGAGAAACTGAATGGAAGGGAGTCTAATAGAAAAGAGGGAGAGGGTTATTGCCGGATGAGTCCGGGCTATCATGTAGTTGACAAGGTCAACTCGTTCTGGGCTGCTCCAGGAACCAAAGCTTGATCCCACAAACAAAAGTTGCACAGAGGCAAGCTTCTGTTCATTATTTAGCAAAAAATATAGTTCGGTTCACCTGGAGCGTTCCAGTAGCGGAATGGGCTGATTCATTAAGTAAATGAGATTTCGTACACTGAAATATTCTAGGAACCACCTCTCCGGGCTGTAGACGGGACTTTGAAATGTTAGCCTTGGTAACCACGGAGAGGTCTGTAGATGCCTCTTAAAATCCTTTTGAGGAGAGGTAAACACAGGAGCAAATTCCACTTACGTGGGAGAGTTGCAGGGGAGAGACTGAGGAAAAGGGTGAGCCGTTCTGTCTTGGCTGTTTTTTAATAGAACCTATTTGAATAAAGAAGTGTTCATTCATTCCATAAAGATGGATTAAGCCCTTACAGGGTGATTAAAATGCTGTTCAACTGAGAACAAGAAAAGCAATCTTTTGTCCTTTTTCTTTGCCATTAAGAAATTTGAGGCTGTCGTGTAAGATGTCTTAGCACTGACATTTTTCCCTGGCAGAGCGCGAATCTGGTCCTCTAGGGGAATAATTACTGGGGAGAACAGCAAAAGGAGGGGAACAAAACGAGTTGGAAACACAGGGGCTCAGTAAACGCGTGGTGAAAGGGAGTTGATTTCTGGAACTCAATTCTGTTACAGTTTAAGGAGGCAATACTAGAGGTTTCAGCCATAGACCTTCCATTTCCTGGTTTATAAAAGAAACCGTGATTCCCATGACTGCGAAAAATAAATGGGGTGAAACTCTGTGTGGGAGCAGGGGACCAGACTGGCACTTCTTTTAGCCAATGGCTCCTGATCCAGGATTGTACATGGAGTGAGCTGGAGCAGAGGACAAAAATGGTTCTTGCTGCTGAGAATGCCTCAGACAGACAGGCATCTAGAAGAATTTGTTGGAAAAGAGCTGTATTCTGACTGGACCATGGAGATATTTGGGCCAGTCCTGTGGTTTCATGGAAGACTAACACTGAGGCCCTGGAGGTGCATGGCCACTGGGGTGCCTGGTGAATGGGGGGTAGAGGAGAAGCCCATCTGAGCTCACCTCAGCTCTCTGAGATGGGACACTCAGGGCTGTGAAAGCCAGGTAGCTGCAGCCCAAGCGCCACTGGTGGCTCTGAGGAGAGAACTGGGGTGTCTGGAGAGCCACTGAGGGCCCCGCAGGTGAAGGCTCCTAAGATGCCCCTGCAGCGGGCTGACCCGCACCCTCAGGCAGCGTCAGAGCTGCCGCGGGCCCCGCCTGGCTGTGTGACACCCGAAGGCACCCCATGCTCTTTCCTCCCAAATTCACATGAGTGGCGCTAGGCTGACCGGGACAGTTTGTTTGCACAGTCTGTCAGGAACGCTCTAGCTGTGGAGGTTTCTTTATCATAAAGCAATTTCTTTTCCCTCTCAGAATACAGGAAAACCTCTAGAAAATATTAAATTGCTCTTACCTGTGAGCATAAGGTCTTTTAGGATCATAACACTGGTTGGAAAAGAATGTCTATCTGAAAGTCTTGGTCACTGTTGAAGCTGGAATGATGGGATATGGGAGTTCATTGACTATCCTCTCTACTTTTGTGTATGTTTGAAAAATTCTAGAATGAGAAGTTTAAGAAAAAAGAAAAAGGCATACTCTTTTAACTCCTCAGTCTCCTGAAGCTGCACCTGAAACTCCGTTCTCTAGGGAAAGAGCCCAGGAGGCCAAAGTCATCACAGAACCTCCCTGTCACTAAGACCTAATGGCCGGTCTTCTGCTGCTCAGCCTCTGCGGCTCTGGAGACGTCTCCTGAAACACCCGTTCTTTGATGTCTTTGGAGCCAGCCTGTCCTGGGATACCCCTTCCCCAACATTTTCTCCACCCTTTCATTGGGTCCTCAGCCACCACTAGGCCTTTAAGTGCCTTTCTTCCTCAGAGTCCAGGCCGTGTTTTGTCTTTTCCCATTCTCCACATTCTGCTGCCCTGACCTCAGCTGTCTCCAGCCCAGACACAGGCCTGAGTTCACAGACTGCGTGTCCACCTGCTGGGTGCGCCCAGCCACTTGGTGCCCCTCCAGTACCTGACCTTTATGTCCAACCTGACGCTCATCGGCTTCCTTCACCAAATCCCTCCCCTCTCCTTGCCCCAGTAGTGAGCATACTTAGTTGTCCTAGCAGGGACCCCAGGGTTATTCTTGATTCTCTCCCTCATCTGCCACACCTGTCAGTTCTGCCACATACCTTCCAGTACCTCTTTTCCATCTGTCGCCTCCAGCCTGCTCTCCTTAGCCTGCACCTTGTTCATCCTCTCCCACCTGCACCATAGCAGCAGCCCCCAGTGGTCTGCTCTCATGACCCACTTTGTTCCACCAGAAGGAACTTTTTACAAAACATATTAGGTGGGGTCACATGCCATATGGCAAGGCTTGGCTGGCTCAGGGTAAGGGCTGACTCCTGGGAGGGCACAAAGTGCTCTGCAAGCTGACTCCGGACTGCTAACAAGCTCCCTGCAGCTGAGCCCTGGCCCCTCACCACAGAACCAAGGGCATACGCACAGGACTGGTCCTTCCAAACACTCTGTGGGCTTTCTTACTTCCGTGCCTTTGCTTATGCTCATTCGAAGGTTCTTTGAACCATCCACTGCCCTTGTTACCCTGGTGAGACGCAGCTCAAATCTCACTGAACATCTGTATCATTTAGACATTGGGCTTCCTAGGCTAGAACCTTGTCTGTGTGTTCATCTCTGATGCCTGGTACATAATAGTGGCTCAGAAGGTATTTGTGGAAGTGGATTGAACATTTTTTTTAATATAAGTTCTTAATATCATAGCGTAATTTAGTTAGACTATAAAACCAGCTGGCAGCTGTATTGGTTTCCTGTGGCTGGTGTAACAAATTATCACAAGCGTAGTGGCTTTATTCTCTTACAGTTCTGGAGGTCAGAATCTAGAATGGGTCTTACAAGGCTAAAATCATGGTGTCAGCAGGGCTGTGTTCCTTCTCAGGACTCTAGGAGAAAATTGCTCCCTTGCCTTTCCAGCCTTTAGATGCTGCCTGCCTTCCTGGGCTCATGGCCCCTACTCCTGTTCCTTCAGTCACGGGGAAAGTGCCTTCTTTCTCTCGTAATTGTGTTGGGCTCACCCACGTGATCCAGGATAATGGCCCCATCTCAAGATCCTTACAGTAATCACATCGACAAAGTCTCTTTGCCACGTAAAGCAACATAGTCACAGGTTCTGGGAGACAGGACGTGAACATCTTGGGAGGGTCATTATTCTGTCTACCACTGCAGCCTTTTGCAGAAGGCAGGTGCTGAAAATCAAGCTTTTAAAACAACCAGTTAAAAGATGTTTGGATTTCATTCTGAATAATAATGAGATTCGATCAGCCATGGATCACACTGCACACAAAGGAAGTTGCTCGACTTGTCTGTGCGCCAGGTCTGAAAGAGGCCTCACTGCCTCTTGCACACCCCCGCGTTTGGGGCTTTCAGCTATTTTAGGGTGACTCGGGATGTGTTTCATGGGAATAAAATAGGAGAGTCGTGCAAATCTCTTGACCTCCACAGTGAAGAGAAGAAACTTGTTTTTTCCCGGGAAGGAGAGGGAACCCCCAGAGGGTGAGTCACCAGACTCATTCACTGTCAGGGACTGACAGAGTCCTGCCTCTCTGATCTGTTAGCCTGGTACGTGGGAGAGAAAAGGAAAAGATGAGGCCATAAAAAAAATCGTCAGAATCTCCCAAACAAAGCCTGCAGCTGCTGAGCTTCTCCTTTGTGAAGATGTGGGTTCCAGATGGTTGCCTGAAGCATTAATCACTCTCTCCTGAGCCAGAAGAAAATGAAGATTAATAACAGTAACTTTTAAAAAATGACTCCTAAGGGGTTACGTATGAAAGAACGGAGGAGGGCACAGAGCTGAATCGGATCGGAATGATCCATTGCTTATTGATCAGGGCCTGTTTCATCCCTACTGATGGTGACCTTGGAATTGCTACACCTGTAGGCCAGCCAGTTGTCATGACGAATGTGATGAAGCTTACATCATAGCTTACATCTGGAAGCTTAGATCACAGAATATCAGAGCCAGAAAGGGACCTTGAAAATCATATTTTTCAACCCTTCACTTAGAGTTGAGGTTAGACTCTGTGCCCAAGTTTGTCAAGCTCAGTGGAAGCAGGAACGGGGCTAGAGTTTGGGCCGCTCCCATCCCAATTCCTCACCCTCTGGCTGTTCCTTACTATCTCTGAGAGAGGACCAACACAGCTGAGACCTGTGCAGTAATTACAGAAGAGAGTATAACAAGCTCTTATCCTTTGTGATACAGAATTTAAATACTCTTAAGCATTTAGACACAAGCAAGGTCCTGGGGGCCGGAGGGCCAGGCAGGATTTTGAGCCAGACCATACAGAGTTGATGGGGTAGTGCACTCCAAACGGGGCAGGGAGGCCAGAGGTCACCAAGCGAGGGGAGATACCACGAGTGGACATGGAGACCCACCTTTCTGGAGCAGAGGGGAGAGCTCCTTAGTTGGTGTAAGGAGGCTGGAAGAGTTGGTGGGACAAATTTTGGAGCTCCTGAGATCCAGACAAAAGTTTTTGGACTTTCTATGGGTGACGATAGAGCTTTGAAGAGATTCGGCCTCAGAAAAATGGTGACTGAACGTGGAATTTTGAAAGAAAAGAGTGTGTGGGTGAGACTGTGTGTGTTATTTTAGGATCCATCTAGGGAAGAAGAGTAGCCAGAGCGAGGGGGGCAAGTACAGGGCTTCCCTGGAGCCTGGTCTCCAAAAGTGATGCCTTCTCTTTGTTCCTTTTTTAAGTAATATGTTGCCTTGATGGTGGTTGACATTAGGATGGAAAGGCCTCAGGTACACTGCATGGAAGAAGACGGTGCTCACTTCTCAAAGTCTGGCCCAGCTCCTGACCCAGACCCACCTCTCAAACCACTGTCATGGGACCTGTTCACGCCTCTGAACAGGGGCCAACTTTCCCCACAGGAAATCGGGACATGTGTGCCGCAGGCCCTGTGCTTAAGGGAGGAAGGAACACTCTACCTATTATGGGCAGGCCTGGGCTGGGTATTGGGGATGAATAAGGCACAAATCATCTTCACTGAGTTTTAAGGAGTTGTGGGGAAGGCAAACTCGTAAACAGACACTTACAGGATTCAGTGGTAAGTGCTGTGTACTTACCAGTATACAAGGAGCCACGGCAGCACCAGGAAGGGTGCTTACCCAGCTTCAGCTGAGTCCCACGCTCATGGCAAGGGCGTGGAGAGAACATGAGCAGAGGCAGGGGGGCAGGAATCTGCTTAGGATGCCTGAGGGTTGGTAGCACTGGCGAGGAAGGGGGGAGTAGGTTCAGGACATTTTCAGGAGGTAAAATAGGCTGACCGTGGGGGTTGGGTATGCAGGGTGAGGGGGTGTCAGGGAGGCCTCCTGGTTCTAGCGTGGAGGACACCAGAGACAGAACACGAGGAAGAAGGAAAAGGTTGGGGAGAGCAGATGTCGAGATCAGATGCAGGCAGGCTGAGGTGAAAGTGCCTATGGGACAGCCAGGTAAAGATGCCCATCACTGGGAGCCCTGCTGCAGAATGCCTGGGGCGTGGCAAGGCGAGGGGGGCCAGGCTTTTCCGGCTGGGCCTTCATGATGGCCAGTTGCCTCCAATGTGTAGATCCCTCTGCCTTCCCAAGGAAGCCACGGATATCTTGGAGAAAGTATCTACCACAGTCTGTGAAAAGACTGCCAGTTCTTACATTAGGAGAAATAAATAAAAATAAACTCATCTGTGGTTATGTCTACAGAGAGTATCCTGGCTTAGCAACATATGCGGAGAAATCATTGTGATCCATTACCTGATGGGTAGATCTGGGTACTTATTTTTCATAGGCATTTTGATCTTTCAACCACTGTCCTCCAATAACAACAGTGAGAAATTTAGTTGTATGGCATGGTTCTTTTGAAGCCAGGTAATGTCACAGTCAATATCCTTTTCATCAGTGAAACAGATGGTAAACCCAGCACCAGCTGCATGCTCATCGTGGTGGCTGAGCTGACAATATATTGTGTGATGGTGCTGCCGTCGCCCTGAGCTCGGAGTGTGAGAGCCGTTTAACAGAATCAAATGCCTTTGACGGGAGTTCAGCCTGTGGTGTCTCTTTGTGTTCCGGCCTGCCCTGTGATTGCCCGTCATCTTTGTCAAGCAGCTGTGGGTCTGATCCATCCTCTGTGCACATGTTTACACATCAGAGCTTCTGCAACACCACTGTGTTTGTCGCAGTATCACTCATACAAATTCCTGTTCTTTCAAGCCTTTCTGTTTTATAATCATAATATTTATAATCATAATATTTATTGTTACTCTAGATAGCAAGTTCCTATAAAATTCGTTTTTCATGAAGGGTTGTTAGAGATTCCAAGAGTTCAACACACCAGGTTTGGGGAACGCTAGTCATTTTACTCAGAAATGAATTCCTATTATCCATAAAGTTGTTCCTCTGGTTTAGGTAGCTGTTGAAATGTAAATTCTTTTGTGTGTGAGGAAGATTGGCCCTGAGCTAACATCTGTTGCCAATCTTCCTTTTTGCTTGAGGAAGATTGTCGCTGAGCTAACATATGTGCCAATCTTCCTCTACTTTATGTGGGATGATGCCACGGCATGGCTTGATGAGCGGCGCTAGGTCCGTGTCTGGGATCCAAACCTGTGAACCCTGGGCTGCCAAAGTGGAGCGCTCAAACTTAATCACTATGCCACCAGGCCGGCCCCTAAGTTTTTTTTAACCATTGCCTACTCTCAGTTAACATTCATCACTAGAATGTGTGTTGGTAAAGGTTCCTTACTGATATACTGATGAATTTTGTTTGCACAGAGATTTTGCTTATGTAGCAAGAGACAAAGATACAAGAATTTTGAAATGTCATGTATTTCGATGTGACACACCAGCAAAAGCCATCGCCACAAGTCTCCACGAAATCTGCTCCAAGGTAAGGGGGAGTCAGAGCACAGTGGTCCATCCCTCTCTTTTCTCACTGCTTGAGCAGGGAGGGGGTTTGAAAGGTCAGGAGAGGGGCCACGTGGACCTGCAAATTGAGCTTGGGGAGAAGCAGGTTGACTCTTTGTTCCATCCACCTCATTACAGTGCTCTCGCTGCCTGTCAGGCATTGCTCTAAATGGCACTCCGTCTACCAAATGACTGCAGCCTTAGTCCCTCCCACAGCCCGGGGGGTATAATAGGTAGACACAACAGTGGCAGGTGCAGGGCAGAGCTGTGTAAACCAAGCCCAGCCAGGAAACAGGGGAAAGGAGTTAGGGCGGATTTCCCAGGGACAGGGCCACCTGATCTGAGAGTGAACACAGAAGCGAGGGTGCTAACAAACCAGCTGGGTGTCTGTGGAAATGCAGGCAGCTGGGGGTTGCCATGAACGCACGCTGACTTCGTGAGGACACACGGCAGCTCGTGGAAACCCTGACCAGCCGTGAGGCAGGGCTGTGGTCACTGTCTCACACTGGTGAGGGTCCCGCTTCCTTAACCAGAGTCCGGGCATCGCCAGCCCAGCCTCCCACCTTCCCTCCAGCATATTCCTAACACAAACGTCCCCGCCCTCTGCCCAGCGCTTCCACTCACATCCATTGGTGGGGTCTTGTACCTTTCAGGAAAGCCTTCTATTATTGAGTGGTTCTGGCTGTTATAGAGTTCTTTCTTGTGTTAACCTGAACTTTTCCTCTCTGGAACCTCTGTGTATTTACTTGAGATCCGTGACCTGTAGCAACAGAGAAAGATTCCTTCAGTTTGTCTCTTTGCTGGGCAGCTCTTTGTTAGTTGAAGCTGTGCCCTGTGCCTGGCACAATTAGAGATGCTGGACAAGTATCCATCGTTGAGTCTTCCTGCTCCTGACTTCCTCTCTTCTCCAGAATCCCCACCCCCATCTCTTCAGCCACTTTTGGGTCACGTGGTTACCAAGCTCCTAACCAGCCTCTTCTGGGCATACTCTGGTTGGTTGCCCCTGAATGAACACAGTGTTCCAGAAATGAGCTGGCAGAGAACAGACCATGGACCACCCTGTCCTTTGACCTCAAGAATACAGTACTAGGGCCAGCCTGGTGGTGCAGTGGTTAAGTTCGCACATTCCACTTCGGTGGCCTGGGGTTCGCCAGTTTGGATCCTGGGTGTGGACCTATGCACCATTTGTCAAGCCATGCTGTGGCAGGCATCCCACATATAAAGTAGAGGAAGATGGGCACAGATGTTAGTTCAGGGCCAGTCTTCCTCAGCAAAAAAACAAAACAAAACAAAAGGATTGGCATCAGATGTTAGCTCAGGGCTAATCTTCCTAAAGAAGAAAAAAAAGAAGAAGAATATAGTACTAGGATGATTGGTCTTCTTAGCAATCATATCACCCACTGGCTTATATTCAAATAGTGGTTGGCCACACCCTCAGGACGCTGTCACTGACTTCCTTCAGCCAGGCCTTTCCACTCCCCAAACCTACTTATTGAATCTAAATACAACACTTCACCATCACCTCTGTTGAACATCACCTTTCTGATTTTGGGCCGACAGCATGACCCAGCCACATTCTCACAATTCCTCCTGGGCTGGCAAGCTCCAGGCTGTGGCCACAGCCACCGCCGTGGCACAGCCTGATATCTGAGCCACAGGAACGAAGCAGATGCAAGCCACAGTTCCTGTGGGAACTGTCTCCAGTCCCAAAAGAAACAGCCCGCCAGTCTGCAACTCTGACCCATGTGACAGGGACATGCAGGATGGGTCTGGGGACCACCACGTTTATCCCAGCCAATAGTCACGCTTTGCATGGACAGGACCAGGCACAGCTGGACCTTTTGCAGCATTGCAGCACACTCCCCAGGTTTCCTTTTTTCAATCATTCATGCCACCAATATAATTGAGCACCATTTATGTGCCAGGCACTGTTCTGAGGAGACAGCAGAGACCAAAACAGAAAAAAGGCCTTGTCCTTGTGGAATTTGTATTCGAGTGTAAAGCCCTTGGAACCTGGCCTGGAACAGAACAAGTGCTCAAGAAATACTCCACTTTATGATTGTCAGCAGCCCTCCTGCCCACCGCCCCAGGCACAGGTCTGGAGATGGACGGAGCGGAGCTCTGGAGAGGAAATGACTTTTGTTCCAGTTGGAATGAAAAGCTTGGGCTGGAAATGAAGATCTGAGTTGCTTTTGGGGTCTTTGAAGGGTGGGCTTCATTCAGCCCTTGAACCCACAGCACTGTGTAAACAAGAGGGAAAGGGAAGACTCTTAGGTAGAGGAGACATTAATGTCCCTAACGGAAGAGAGACAGTTTGGAAGACAGCTGACAGATTTAAACAGCTTGAGAAAAACAATCACAAGGATAGCAGCTAATATGTCTGAGCGTTTACATGTGCTCCTCAGAACCAACATAACATTATTGTTATTGGGGACATAAATGTTATCAGTATCCCCATGGACAGTGGAGAAAATGAGACACAAGAGGTCAGGTGACTTGGTCACACAGCCAGTACATGGCAGAGGTGGGATTTGAACCCATGTACTGTGTCCCCAGATTACCTTAAAAGAGAACCTAAAAGTCAGCATCCGGAAGCAGTGGGGGGAGTCCATTGCTCTGTGTTCCACTGACCACAGTGGGCCAAGAGGCCCACCCTTGACTAGGGATATTTGTTTGGGTTGTTTTAGTAGAGTTGGGAGCCTGGTGAATGGAAGAATGAACTCCAAACAATTAGGAGACTTACTCTGAGGGATAGTCATTCACCTGTTATCCCTAGAGAGACTGAGCACAATTCTCAATATACGTAGCTCAGAGACACGGGGGTGAGAAGGGAGGCAACAGACTAAAGCTGGGTTAACCTAGAAGTGAAATCTGCTTGGGCACGTACTGGCTGGGATGGCTGAAGACAGGGGGTCTCAACCACAAACCAAAGCTGTGCTTTCTCTTCTTCAGATTATGGCCGAACGGAAGAATGCTAAAGCCCTGGCCTGTGGTTCCTTACAGGAAAGAAACAATGTGAATCTCGACGTTCCCTTGCAAGGTAAGTCGGTGGCTACTGCTCCCTTCTTGGTGGTGCTGTCCATCCTAGTCAAGAAGCAAAGGGTCTCAGATGGTTCCGTGGTGTTTCTAATCTCCTTAAAAACAATGCTCGACTCAACAAACACGCACTGAGCATGCACCCGGTGTCCTCCCCATGGCGTAGAGTTGATTTTGTGTCAGTAGGATTAGTCAGGAAGGGCCAAGGTGAGTTTTGTTGTTGTCGGACAAGATTAAAGAACAGTATCTTTGGTGGGTTTATAGCTCACGTACAGCCTAGAGTAAAGACCAGCTGGTTTAAAAATATGTGGGTTGATATTGGGTGGGGCTCTGTTATTTTCCCAAATTGTGCCCTTTGTGATTAAATTTTCTCTGAGCATAAACCACATCTAACAAATAGGACATCAAAAGCTCTTACTTAGCACACATCAAAGGGACAGTAGCAGCTTTAACACAGATTCCAGTTCCTGCTTTTACATGTTTTCCTGCCTAGAAATGAAAGTTGGATGGGATTTGGATGGACAGAGCCCAGTGTCTCCATTCTTATAGAACAATTGCGCATTTGCCTTTAGAAACACAGGACAATATGGCACCAGGGGTGCGTTCCAGGTGACATAGTGATGGCTGCGTTTTATGTGTATGTTGGAACCACTGAGAAAGACGTGTTGCTTTTGTTCCCTGTAGTAGATTTTCCAACACCAAAGACTGAGCTGGTCCAGAAGTTCCACGTGCAGTACCTGGGCATGTTACCTGTAGACAAGCCGGTCGGTATGTGAAACACGTCTTTCCACTTTGCAGGTGTTGGGAATACCTCATAGGAGGTATTCACCCTCCCAAAAGGGTGGGGTCTACTGTGTCACTGCCTTTCCATGTGTGGACTCAGGCCCTTGCACTGTCACCAGCCAGAGCACAGGAATAGTCCTGATCAAAAGAGCATGAGATGATAGGAGAGGACAGGTTAAGCTGCTCTGACCTGTGATCCCCACATTATAGGGACCTTAACAAAGCAGACACATGTTTCTCATTTACCCAAGAGTCCAGAGATGCGCATTCCACGGCTGTAGCAGGACTCTGCCATTCTCAGATAGGGCCTCCTCCTCTGGGGCCAGGCACCTGCTTCAGTCCTCGTCAGCTGGCGGGCAGGGAGAAAGCGCTGGGGGAGCCCTCATGCCTTTCTTTCAAGGTGTGAGTCAGCAGCAGCACACACAGCAGTCAGCTCACATCCCAGGGGCAGAACTTAGTCACTTAGCCATCCCAAGCTGAGAGGAGGCTGGGAGATGTGGCCTTTCCCAGGTAGAAAAGGCTGTGGAGAAATCAGAGCCTTCATGTGCTGCTGAGGGGAATGTAAAATGGCTCAGCTGCTTTGGAACAGCCTGGCAGCTCCTCAAAAAGTTAAACGTAGAGTTACCATTGGATCCAGCCATTCTGCTCCTAGGCACATGCCCAGATGAAATGAAAACATCTGTCCACATGAAAATTTATCCACAAATGTTCACAGCAGCGTTATTTGTAACAGTCAAAAAGTGGAAACCTAAATGTCCATCAACTGATGAACAGATAAATAAAATGTGATAATGCCATACAATGGAATGCTATCTGGCAATAAAAAGGAAGGAAATACTGAAACATAGTACAACATGGATAAACCTTGAAAACATGCTAAATGAAAGAAGCCAGTCACAAAGGGCCACATACCGCATGATTCCATTTATATGAAATGTCCACAATAGGCAAATCTCTAGAGATGGAAATTAAATAAGTGATGGCCAGGGGCTGGGAGGAGATGAAGGGTAACTCCCAAAACGTACAGGGTTTCTTTTTGGAGTGATGAAAATGTCCTAAAATTGATTGTGGTGATGGTCGCACGACTCTGTGACTATACTAAAAATCATTGAATTATACACTTTAAATGAGTGACTTGTATGTTATGTGAATTATATCTCGATAAAGTTGTCCTACCTCACCTCCAACAAAACAGCTGTGGGAACACCCAGCAAAAGTGCCCCATTGACTAGCACATAGAGCTCATGTAAAGGTGCCACCCAAACTTGGCCTTAAGTAACCAAGTCAGATGAAGGAAGGTGGGGGTGTACTGGCAGATGCTGGCTTCCATTGGGTCCCCTTTCCCAAGGCCCTTTGCTTAGAAAATGTTGCATTTGCTTGAGTACTGTTGATGCACTCGGAGCTGGGGAATCTTTGGAGAGAGCAGGAGAAAGGAGTACGATGGTCCGATAGTCAGGACATCACACTACATCTCTGTATGTTCCTGTGGAAGGAGCTGGCATTTCTTTTAAGCAAACATGAGAAATTAAACGTCTTGTTTTCTGGGGTTTTAAAGATCAGTCTGGGTACAGCCCTTACGGGGTGATTTGGGCCCACATTTGAGAGTGATAAATAGCTTGAGGACTTTTCTCAGTTGTCCCTTCCATCCACAGGAATGGATACCCTGAACAATGCCATAGAAAGTCTCATGACCTCATCTGACAAGGAGGACTGGCCGTCAGTGAACATGAACGTGGCCGATGCTACTGTGACCGTCATCAGTGAAAAGGTACAGAGGGTTGTAGGTGCCATTGGCCTGTGTGGGCGGCAGTGAGGTTTGGGACACAATAACTTTCCGTGAAACTTAGACACAGAGCCATGTCTCGACCTCTGGGGAGTTGTGCTTGCTTGTGATTAGAATAGCCTACATTTGGGAAAAAAAAAAAAGATTTTTCCCCTTGTGTCTGGATCTTTGCACACCTTTGCTTTCCTGGACTCAGAAGCTCCTAATCTGGTGCTCCTGATTCTTTCTTCCTCATATGCCCAAGAGATTTAAATCGTTCACTGGAAGTGACTGTATGACGCTAGCAGTAACTCACTAATGGGGTTTGGTTTTCTGGCCAGTCACTCTCCAGGCTCCAGAATTGACTAGGCAGTTTTCTGGGGTTGGAGCACAGGAGACGCTTCTGTCATGGAAGGTCCTGTGGTTTGTTCTGTCAGTAGTAGCAGGGGCCATTGGTCATCTTGAGAGAGGCCAGCATTAGCCTCGACACAAACTATCCCAATTTTGTGGTTGAAGAAACTAAAGCACAGAGAGATTAAGTAACTCCCCAAGGTCACACAGTCAGAAGTAGTAAGGTCAGGATTCGAATCCAGGCAAACTGGCTTCCGACTCTTTACCACTTGTCTGCCTCTGTGAAGCAGCTGTCATGAAAAGGCCACAGTCTTTGGCCTGCTCTTGCTTCTGTCCACTAGCAGATCACCTTCAAGCCAGTTCACCTTCTAAAGAGGAGTGAGGTGCTCACTGACCCCAGCCGCCTCTCCAGCCTGCCATGCTGGGTTGTCTTCAAGTCTTCAGTCGTCATGCCCTTTCCCACCTCCACATCTTTGCAAGAGCTGCTCCTTCTGTGCTCCACCCCTTTGCCTACCCAGCCCCTACCCAGAGCTCAACTCAGATGTCATTTCTCCTAAGAAAACTTCCCGGCCTCTCAGACTAGTTTAGTTTTCTTGTTAAACAATCCCACATAACCTGAGTGAATATTTAATAATTCAAGATCTTAATGATCCAAAAGTCAACATTCTGGATGTGTTTACTAACTCAAAAGTTGCATATGATTGCTGCAAAGGATGTGGCGTTCATAAGAATGAATTCTGAGCATTTCTTTGCACTGCATCATATGGATACCATATGGATATCAGTTTGTGAAAAAGAAAAAGAAAATGACTTGGCAACTTTTTGTTTTACACAGAAATATGGTTCAACGTCCTGTTTAGCTTGGGAAGAAGAACTGGATGGAAAAGGATCCCATGGCTCTTTTTCTCTTGGTGCCCTGGGGTTTCCAGTGGGTTCCCCTGGGCAAATGGGTTTTGAGCCACTGGGTGCCCTGTATGAGCAAGATGTGAGAAATAGACATGACATTGTTCCTACCCTCGGTGGACTCACAGGCTTGCAACACAGTGGATAGGGAACAGAGCACACAAACCACGGTTGCAGTGTAGTTCGGAGCAAAATTAAATACCGGAATGAGACACTATAGCAGTGATGGCCTCTCCAGACGCATTTAGAAACTTGCCTCTTTAGAAAAATACAAGTCCTTTCTAAGTTCAGTCTGGCTATATATTTCCTAGTACCAGCTCCTGTATGCGGCCACTCTAAGCTTGATTCCATGATTTAAGAGCTGAACCTGTTTGTGACTATTGCCTGGCTTCCCAGAGAGCGTGGGCTGTGAACTATGTCTCTTGCAGAATGAAGAGGAAATCCTAGTGGAGTGTCGTGTGCGATTCTTGTCCTTCATGGGCGTCGGGAAGGATGTCCACACATTTGCCTTCATCATGGACACTGGGAACCAGCGCTTTGAGTGCCACGTTTTCTGGTGCGAGCCGAATGCCGGTAACGTGTCCGAGGCGGTGCAGGCCGCCTGCATGGTGAGTGATCCCACCACAGGGGTTCAACCCTCATGCCCCTGCCTTTGTTTTATATGCCATAAATTAGAGCAGAGTTACTAATTTAAAAGAAGACAAGTCTAATCTCTAAAGTACTGTTTTACCGTATAACACCCTCATTCCTGTGGACAGAGTCAGTTATGATGAGCAGTTTGCCATCTCAGGAGGCGAGGACACCTGAGAGCAGCAGCGCCGGGTGGAGCCAGATTCTGTGGGACTCCAGTAACATCAAAAAGGGTGATCTTCAAAACCACAAATTGAGGATTCTCAACTCTTGGTCCCTAATTAATTGGAGTATGTGGTCAGGAAATGTTGGTCATGCATGAGTGAGTTGGTGCTGTTTGGGACCAACTCAGTACTTTAAAAATAAAATGCAATGTATTGAGTGAGTTTTATTTTAGATAGTTTGTTTCAGTGACTTGTTCTTACATATTTTGTTTTCTTTCTATCTGTGAACTCAGTCCTTACAACAATCCTGTTAGGTAGTTGTTAGTTCTGTTTTATTTATGAGAAAACAGAGGGTCGGAGGAGAGAACGGGCCCTGGGGCACAGAGTTGGTAAGTGACAGAGCCTGCATTCAGTGCCAGGTCTTCCAGGTACCAAAGCTAGTGCTCTTTGCATCACATATATGATTTCAAACAAAGGTACTTCATCATTTATTCCGCAAATATCCTTTGAGCACCTATTATGCCAAGCACTGAAAAAGTTCTAGTAAAAATGAGGGGACTGTATGAATGTAGGCATCCAAACCTGGGGTGCTGGTATATTCTAGCAACAGCAGATTGGATTGGTGGAACCAAGTGGGAGGAGGCAAGGTCCACCTCATGAAAGGCCTGTGATGTCATACTAATGTGTTTATCTTCGGCAAAGATCATTAAGTGGGAGTGAATTGATCATGCTAGGTTTTAAAAGTGTACTCCGGAACAAAGGAAAAGAATGTGGAAGACGAGGCTGAGGTGGGGAGATCAGCCAGGAGGCCAGTTTACTGGTCCGGGTGAGAGCTTTGGAGCATCTAAATGGGAGAGTGGCCGTGGGAATAAACAGGAGCGGATGATTGGAGAGACGTTGTAGAGAATCGCCTGGCCTGGGCAGGAGGAATGCTGAATTTGAGGCACCTGTGCTTCATTTAATCACTCCATCATTTATGGGCTGGACTCTAGGAGGTTCATGTAGGACTGAGATATGATCCTTGCATGGTGGAGTTTAGGTATATGGGGGAGAAGGGTTAACCAAAATTCTGCTGTAGTGTAGAGAGTGCTATAACTAAAAGTATTAGACTGCTCTGGATTGAGAAGTGACTGGGAGAGAAAGGAGTGGGGACCCTGACAGTAGATAACTCATGAAGTCAGACAGTGAAGGGGTAGCTTGAAGCACAACACTGAGGAGTTTGCTCATTTGTTTTAGGATTGGGGAGATTCATGCATTTTTAGGCTGAGAGAAGTGAGCCAGTGAAGCTGGATTGAAATGGGGGTCATATAACATAGTTGAGGCAAGGTCTTGGTGGCAGATTAAGAGCCTGGGGTTGGGGCTTAGCCTCCCAGTTGGGTTAGAGCAACTTTGAGACTGGCCAGATGCTAAGAATCAAGACTAGGTGGAATTTAGAGTTGTGGGAGTTCTGGTTTTGTATATGCAGTACCTCGCTAGGTTAAGAATGAAGAAAAAGGAAGAGGACGACGGCAGTTGGCAAAGGTGGGGAATGAGAAAAGAGAGCCAATCGACTGTGATCTTAAAAGCCACCTGTGAAATGGAGAGGGCAGGTGGGAGAAGGGATGGGAAGACCTGAACCTGTGCACGCAGTATCTGACTCCATTCTCACCACAGTCCTCTGTGAGAGGACAGTTTCCCCTTGTACCGTGGAGCCGAATTCTAACTCACAAAAGCCTGCATGGAAAGGAGCAGGGCCAGGCGGAGGCGAGTGTCAAGATGCGCCTCCTGACCAGCCGCAGGGAACTGAGATGGGATAGCCAATGAGGAAGTTCAGTTGAGCACAAATGGAGGGTGACTATTTAGGCATTTCATGAAATTGAAAAGGATCATAACAGATGGTTTTAGTCACAAAATGAATGGCTTTCAGCCTTAATTATACACTTTAAGTGCTGATGACAATTAAATAATTAGCTTTTATCAGTAGTTACCGTTTGTTTTCCAAATCCCAGTCTCATTTTCTTAGAAACAATTTTTACTCATTTGTTTACTGTTCTAATTGCATTAGGGCAACCAGCTGAAGGGGCTCAGCCAATCCAGTGTAAGACATACTGATAAAATCAAACCTTTCTTTACAGTGCAAATCCAGAATTTGTAACTCAGTGGCCTACCTCTTGATTCATATCTGCACGATTCTCTGTCTGAAATATCTGTGCATGAATTTATACCAACTGAAAAATCTACAGCATTAACACATTCTTTTGAATCTACTAAATTAGTAGGCATATTTTGCAGCTGTGTGGTGTAGGCCCAGCTGAAGATACTTTGGTGAAATTTAGAATAAGAGCGATCGTTAATGAAATTGCTCAGGTGCATTTTTTTAATTGAGTTCATAATAGTTTACATCATTGTGAAATTTCAGTTGTACATTATTTCTTGTCTGTCATCACATAGATGCTCCCCTTCAGCCCCTGTGCCCACCCCACACCCCCCTTCCCCTGGTAACCACAGATGTGTTTTCTTTGTCCATGTGTTTGTTTATATTCCACATAGGAGTGAAATCATCAGGTGTTTGTCTTTCTCAGTCTGGCTTATTTCACTTAGTATAATTCCCTCCAGGTCCATCCATGTTGTTGCAAATGGGATGATTTTGTATTTTTTTCTGGCTGAGTAGTATTCCATTGTATATATTTACCACATCTTCCTTATCTAATCATCAGTCAGTGGGCACTTGGATTGTTTGCATGACTTGGCTATTGTGATTAGTGCTGCAGTGACCATAGGGGTACATATGTTACTTTGGATTGTTGATCAAGTTGTTTGGGTAGATACCCAGTAGTGGGCTAGCTGGGCCGTATGGTAGTTCTATTTTCAGTTTTTTGAGGAATCTCCATACTGTTTTCCGTAGCGGCTGCACCAGTTTGTATTCCCACCAGCAGTGTATGAGGGTTCCCTTTTCTCCACACCCTCTCCAACATTTGTTATTGTTAGTCTTAGTGATTATAGCCATTTTAACAGGTGTAAAGTGATATCTTAGTGTAGTTTTGATTTGCATTTCCCTGATGATTAGTGATGTTGAACATCTTTTCATGTGTTTATTAGCCATCTGTATATCTTCTTTGGAAAAATGTCTGTTCATATCCTCTGCCCATTTTTTGATCGGGCTGTTTGCTTTTTTGTTGTTCACTTGTGTGAGTTCTTTATATATTATGTAGATTAACCCCTTATTGGATATATGATTTGCAAAAATTTTCTCCCAATTGGTGGGTTGTCTTTTGATCCCAGTGTCTTTTGCCTTGCAGAAGCTCTTTAGTCTGATGAACTCTCACTTGTTTATTTTTTCTTTTGTTTCCCTTGTCTGAGAAGACATGGTATTCAAAAAGATCCTTTTAAGTTCGACGTCAAAGAGTGTACTACCTATACTATCTTCCAGGAGTTTTATGGTTTCAGGACTTATCTTCAAGTCTTTGATCCAATTTGAGTTTCTTTTTGTGTATGGCGTGAGATAATGGTCTACTTTCATTCTTTTGCATGTGGTTGTCCAGTTTTCCCAATACCATTTATTGAAGAGACTGTCTTTTCTACATTGTATGTTCTTGGTACCTTTGTTGAAGATTAGCTGTCTGTATATGTGTGGTTTTATTTCTGGGCTTTCAGTTCTGCTCCAATGATCTATGTGCCTGTTTTTGTACCAGTACCATGCTGTTTTAATCACTATGGCTTTGTAGTACATTTTGAAGTCAGGGATTGTGATGCCTCCAGCTTTGTTCTTTTTTCTCAGTATTGCTTTAGCAATCCGAGGTCTTTGGTTGCCCCATGTGAATTTTAGGATTCTTAGCTCTATTTCTGTGAAGAGTGTCATTGGGATTCTGATTGGGATCGCATTGAATCTGTACATTGCTTTGGGTAGTATGGACATTTTTAACTATGTTTATTTTTCCAATCCATGTGCATGGAATCTCTTTCCATCTCTTTATGTCATTATCTATTTCTTTCAATAATCTCTTAGAGTTTTCATTGTATAAGTCCTTCACCTCCTTAGTTAAATTTATTCCTAGGTACTTTATTCTTCTTGTTGCGATTTAAATGGAATTGTATTCTTGAGTTCTCTTTCTGTAAGTTCATTATTAGAGTCAGAAATGCAACTGATTTTTGTAAGTTGATTTTGGACCCCGCAACTTTACTGTAGTTGTTAATTATTCCTAATAGTTTTCCAATAGATTCTTTAGGGTTTGCTATAGATAAGATCATGTTGTCTGCAAACAGTGAGAGTTTCACTTCTTCACTTCCTATTTGGATTCCTTTTATTCCTTTCTCTTGCCTAATTGCTCTGGCCAAAACCTCCAGTACTATGTTGAATAAGAGTGGTGATAGTGGGCATCCTTGTCTTGTTCCTGTTCTCAGGGGGATGACACTCAGTTTTTGCCCATTGAGTATGATGTTGGCTGTGGGTTTGTCATATATGGCCTTTATTATGTTGAGGCACTTCCCTTCTATGCCCATTTTGTTCAGAGTTTTTATCATAAATGGCTGTTGGATCTTGTCAAATGCTTTCTCTGCATCTATTGAGATGATCATGTGGTTTTTATTCCTCATTTTGTTAATGTGGTGTACCACATTGATTGATTTGCGGATGGTGAACCATCCCTGTGTCCCTGGTACAAATCCCACTTGATCATGATGGACGATCTTTTTGATGTGTTGCTGTATTCAGGTTGCCAATATTTTGTTGAGGATTTTTGCATCTATGTTCATCAGCAATATTGGCCTATACTTTTGCTTTTTTGTGTTGTCTTTGTCAGGCTTTGGTATCAGAGTGATGTTGGCCTTGTAGAATCTGTTAGGAAGTGTTCCATCTTCCCTAATCTTTTGGAATAGCTTGAGATGGATAGGTATTATATCCTCTCTGAAAGTTTGGTAGAATTCCTCAGGGAAGCCGCCTGGTCCTGGGCTTTTATTCTTTAGGATGCTTTTGATTACTCTTTGAATCTCTTTACTTGTGATTGTTCTATTCAGATTCTCTATTCTTGATTCAGCTTTGAGAGGTTGTAAGAGTCTAAGAATTTATCCATTTCCTCTAGATTGTCCATTCTGTTGGCAAATAGCTTTTCACAGTATTCTCTTATAATCCATTGTATTTCTGTGGTATCTGTTGTTATTTCTCCTCCTTCATTTCTAATTTTATTTATCTGAGCTTTCTCTCTTTTTTTCTTTGTAAGTCTGGCTAGGGGTTTGTCAATTTTATTTATATTCTCAAAGAACCAGCTCTTTACCCTCATACACTGCTGGTGGGAATGCAAACTGGTGCAGCCACTATGGAAAACAGTATGGAGATTCCTCAAAAAACTAAAAATAGAACTACCATACGATCCAGCCATCCCACTACTGGGTATTTATCCAAAGAGCTTGAAGTCAGCAATCCCAAAAGTCCTGTGCACCCCCATGTTTATTGCAGCACTGTTTACAATAGCCAAGATGTGGAAGCAACCTAAGTGTCCAGGAACAGACGAATGGATAAAGAAGATGTGGTACATATATACAATGGAATACTACTCAGCTGCAAAACAGAACAAAATCATTCCATTTGCAATAACATGGATGGACCTTGAGAGAATTATGTTAAGTGAAATAAGCCAGCGAGAGAAAGATAATCTGTGTTTGACTCCACTCATATGAGGAATTTAAAACTATGGACCAAGAACAGTTTAGTGGATACCAGGGGAAAGGTGGGGTGGGGGGTGGGCACAAAGGGTGAAGTGGTGCACCTACAACATGACTGACAAACATTAATGTACAATTGAAATTTCACAAGATTGTAACCTATCAATAACTCAATTAAAAAAAATTGAAAAAAATAAAAATAAAAAAAATAAATAAAAAGAACCAGCTCTTTGTTTCATTGATCCTTTCTTTCTATTGCCTTTTTTGTTTCAATAGCATTTATTTCTGCTCTGATTTTTATTATTTCTGTCCTTCTGCTGACTTTGGGCTTTGTTTGTTCTTCTTTTTCTAATTCAAATAGGTGTAGTTTGAGATTGCTTATTTGGGCTTTTTCTTGTTTGTTAAGGTGAGCTGGTATTGTGATGAATTTCCCTCTTAATACAGCTTTTGCTGCATTCCATATGAATTAGTATGGTATGTTTTCATTTTCATTTGTCTCCAGATATTTTTTGATTTCTCCTTTAATTTCTTCAGTGATCCACTGCTTGTTCAATAACATGTTGTTTGGTCTCCACATCTTTGCCCTTTTCTCAGCTTTTTTCTTGTAATTAATTTCTGGCTTTATAGCATTGTGACCAGAAAACATGCTTGTTACTATTTCAATCTTCTTAAATTTATTGAGGCTTGCCTTGTTTCCCAACATATGGTCTATTCTTGAGAGTGTTCCATGCACACTTGAGAATAATGTGTATTCTCCTGTTTATGGATGGACTGTTCTGTATATAAGTCCAACTGTTCTTGCTTTTCATTTAATTCCACTGTTTCCTTGTTGATTTTCTGTCTAGATGATCTGTCCATTGATGTGAGTGGAGTGTTGAGGTCCTCTACTATTAATGTCTTCATTTAGGTTTGTTAATAGTTGCTTTATGAACTTTAGTGCTCCTGTGTTGGGTGCATAGATATTTATAAGTGTTATTTCTTCTTGATGTAGTGTCCCTTTGATCATTATATATTGCCCCTCTTTGTCTCTCTTTACCTGTCTTATCTTGAAGTCTACTTTGTCTGATATAAGTATTGCGACACCTGCTTTCTTTTGTTTGCCATTAGCTTGGAGTATCGTCTCCCACTCCTTCACTCTGAGCTTGTGTTTGCTGTTGGAGCTGAGATGTGTTTCCTGGAGGCAGCATATTGTTGGGTCTTGTTCTTTAATCCATCTCACCCCTCTGTTGTCTTTTTATTGGAGAATTCAATCCATTTATGTTTAGGGTGATTATCAATATATGAGGGCTGAATGCTGCCATTTTATCACTCATTTTCCAATTCTCCTGCATTTCCTTTGTTTCTTGTCCTGTGTATTTTGGTCTACCAATTGAGTTATATAGTTTTTTATGTTATGTTTCTTTGTTTTCTCCTTATTTATTATTTGTGTCTCTGTTCTGCTTTTTTGTTTAGTGATTACCCTGAGGTTTGTATTCAAAATCTCGTGGATAAGATAGTCCCTTTTCTGATGGCCTCTAATTTCCTTAGACTAAACAGATTCAGTCCCTTTCCTCTCCCCCTCCTAAGTCCTCAGGTGCACTTTTGATTCACACTGGATGAACCTAACTAACATTAGAAATTCCCAGTCCAGTGTCCCATGTTGCCACACCTGCCCATTTATAAATCCATGCTTTGTAAGAGTGTGGTTTTGGTTGTGAGGCAGACCTAGCAAGATACCTTACATAGAGGAGACATGATAAATCATTTTTCATGTGATTAGGTTGAAAGGGACTAGTTTTGTGGCCTTTGGGCAATGACAAAACCTTGTGACACAGAGTCTTGCTGTAAACAGGTTATGCCTCTCAGGGGAAACATCAACTTTTTTCACAACTGTACTAAAGAACCTATTAATATTTAAGTAGATTTCTAAAACTCAGCCATGGAATTAATTAAAATGCTCAGATTAGGAAAAAACATTTGATAAATTTTTTTCTTTTTTAGATTTTATTTTTCCTTTTTCTCCCAAAGCCCCCCAGTACATAGTTGTGTATTTTTAGTTGTGGGTCCTTCCAGTTGTGGCATGTGGGACGCCACCTCAGCATGGCTTAATGAGCAGTGCCATATTGGCACCCAGGATTCGAACCAGCGAAACCCTGGGCTGCTGAAGCAGAGTGCGTGAACTTAACCACTCAGCCACGGGGCCAGCCCCACATTTGATAAATTTTAACCTTCTTATCTAATTTTGAAGAATTATCTTTGCATTAATACAAAAGTGGGGGGATTATGTTATATGTCTGAAGGATAGAAACTGTCCGTGATACCAGTGCTAATGGATTTTTAAAAATTAATCCATTAGGGGGGCTGGCCCTATGGCCGAGTGGTTAAGTTGGTGCGCTCTGCTTCAGCAGCCCAGGGATTCACAGGTTCAGATCCTGGGTGTGGACATGGCACCACTCATCAGGCCATGCTGAGGCAGTGTCCCACATAGCACAACCAGAAGGACCTACAACTAGAATATACAACTAGGTACTGAGGGGCTTTGGGGAGAAGAAGAAACAAACAAAACAATTAATCCATTAGGATTTAGACTTGTATATAAAATGTATCCTTAAATCTTAATACATCATTCTTTGTATTAAAGCAGGAAATAGAGGAAAGAACAAACATTTATGAACGCCTTCTGCATTGCTAGGCCTATTTTAGGCATTTTGACAAGTATTCCTTAATCATAACACCCTCTGTAAAGGTCCCCATTCTTCAGCCATTTTACATTGAATCAAGAGGAAGGCCACTGAGTTAGAGATGCTGGATTCAGGGTGTAAAGAAAAGTTTGATTTTATCAGTGTGCCTTACACTGGATTGGCTGAGCCCCTTCAGCTGTTGCCCTAATGCAATTAAAACAGTAAGAAATGAATAAAAATTGAGGCTCAGAGAGATTTGATAATTAGCCTGGGCTCATACGGTCCACAGGTGATGGAGCCTAGCTTCAAACTCTGCCCTTTCTACTGTGCTCTCCCTCAACGTGAGCACTTACCTCATGGACACAGATGCACATGTCTCTGAGGAAGGATTTAACTGTCTCTCCCAATCCTTTTTCTTTTCATTAGCTCTTTGAATATGAGCTGTATTAATTGCAGCCTGTCAATATAGAGAACAAATAGACAGTAGAGGATGGAAGAAAAGGGTGGCAAAAGCCACAACACCTTTGCTGAGCCTAATGATCTTTTAAGAGAATTTAAAACACCCACATTAAGAAAAAAGTTAACTTACTCTTGGATTTATGTTTAGGAGCTAGGTTGTTAACTTTTGAGACGTGATAACCTAACTAATGTGATGAGTTAAAATCACGTTCAACAAGAGATGATACGTTATTAACGCCCACAAAACGTTTTTTCATTCCAGTTACGATACCAGAAGTGCTTGGTAGCCAGGCCGCCTTCACAGAAAGTTCGACCACCTCCTCCGCCAGCAGACTCAGTGACCAGGAGAGTCACAACCAATGTAAAACGAGGGGTCTTATCCCTCATTGACACTTTGAAACAGAAACGCCCTGTCACAGAAACGCCATAGCTGCATATGTTAAAGGATTCTCTACTATTTACCTGAAGACTGAACAGCTACACTAAAGAAGATGAACTGATGTCTGGCCTTCCGTTCAGTTGCTGATGCTTTGTCTTCAGAGAATTTATTCCTAACCAGTGTTAGACAAGCATGATCTCTCGTCTCGCCACCATCATGTGATATGAAAAGAAGCATGACTAATTTTTTTTTGCTGTCAGTAAGTTACATCATGAGCAGTGGAAGGTCTTTTTCTTATTGTAAATATCGTGAACATTGCTTCACACACACAGAGAAGGATGTGGCCACACCCCTCCTAGTGAACTAATCCTGAGTCCTTGGAGTGAATGACGTCTGAGGTAGTGTCACCATCGTCTTGACTGGATCTGTCACAAGCAACCTTTAAGTCCTACGGCACTTCACCCTGTTTTCAACGTTGGAGTAGACGCTGTGTACCAGACACATTTGAATTGCTGTAAGAATAGGATGACCAGGTTTTGTTTTCGTTTTTCATAAAATTGAACCTCTAGGTTGACAAAATTGGCTGTTGGCATCAGTACGGAAACAAACTGGCAGCTTTCCTTGGCGAGCTGTTTGACACATGGACACCATTTCATGTCTACAGCTGTTTGTGGGATGTTGGGGGAAAAAAGTGAAACTTCAAAATCGAAAAACAGACTAAATTTCAGAAATCAAAATCAAACAAAAATAGCCTTTCTTTTCAGATGGTTTTCAAAGTGATTATTAAGAAAAAGAGATTAACAAAATCATAACGCATTTCGGGTGGGACATTTTTCAAACTTCTGCCTTATACTGTACAATGCAGCTAGAGAATTATAGTTCACTATGGCCATTCTCTACTTAAACAATATTAAAATGAAATGCTCCTCGTCAGCCTTTCATCCTTAGGAGTTTGATAATTAGCCAATATGCAATTTGGAGTTGAGGACATACCATTTCTATTTTAGATCTCCACCACCACATTATTTTGTTAGTCCGCCGCCTAGGTAAGCATCTGCTAGGATCCTGCATCTAGCTCAGTCTTACCCTGATGCTTTTTGCCCAGAAAGCTGTCTATCCATCATGTATAGTCCATGGCAACAAATTACATTAAATCGAACCTTTCTTGAATTTTATGTATTTAATATTAGAATTTGTTGCAACTCTACTAGATATATTTTTAAATTTGTATTTTTTTCCATTTTATTTCCAAGATTTAAAAATTTATCAGAGCAAAATATACATAGGAACAATGGACTGTTTAACAAGGTTCCCAAAAATAGCACTTTCCTGCTTCTCTCTCTATAGATAAAGGAACTTAGCTGTGAAGATTACATAGGTTTAGACTCTTGTTGACATTGTTGTTTTAAAAGGAAGTTGCTAAGGAGATCAATCTAAACACTGGTCTTGTTTCCTTTTTAATGTCAAAATTAACATTTTATAACATTCAGTTATAACAGTAATGCTCTATGTTTATCCACTTTTATGTACTTGTCAAAATGGTTTCCACATTCTTATCACATTTGAGCCTTATAAGATAGAGAAGATACTAAACACATTTGAGAAATGAAAATATGAAGTACCAAGAGGCTCAGTCATTTAGCCTAAGATCTCATGAAAGTTAGTGAGAAAACCAGGACTAGGGCTCACACTTCCCAACTCTAAGTTATGCTGCTTCCACACCAGCCAGCAAGAGTCTTTCTGGAATTACTCCGGGCATATCCAGCTGTTGTCAGGAAATCTTAGGATTCCCTGTATAAGTAGGGCAATGTGTCCAAATTACTCACGCAGTGCTGTCAATTACAAGACGCTTGTCCTCTCTGTCCAGCACTGTTTTCCTGCCGTGTGCCTCAAACCAGTTGTGGAGGACAGGATTCTACATGCAGTACAGCCGGTTCAACCCACAAGATTTTCCAGGGATGTCACATATGGTAGACATAATCCTAACTCGTGATACTTCGCCACCAGGGAACGTGATGGAATGACTAGGTGGCTTCCTCCCTCCGTCCCCTCTCAGAATTCTGGAATTATTTGCTAGCACCCTAGTGTTGTGACAAAAAAGATGACACTCTAGAAATGAATTATACTTCTCACCAGCCTATATACTGTTCTCTCTGAAGTAACCAATACCATCGTAAGAAATTATTGCATTAGGAAAATCCTTACTGTGCCCTTTGAAAGCTGTTCACAATTCAATCCTGATGATCATTCATCTTGATCTCCACAGTGAAATGTTTGAGTGTGATAAACCTCAAAATCCTGAACAAGTCATCCACTCTTGTATTGGAACTCTCTACTGTTCGTTTTTCAAGGCATACATTTATTTGTTTTCAGGATCAAGAGTACTGAGCTAGCTTTAAGTAGCAAACTGATTTATATATGCAATTATAGGATGCATTAAGATGAATGATAGCCTTTACATATTGAAAACTTTACTGCAGATATTTTCATTTGAAAATAGCTTTGCATACTAAATGCAATTAATTTTGTAAAATTAATTATGTTAAACAGTATGTTCAGACACTTCCTGCCATGGCCAAAAAGTACGTATGAGAGTCCGTGTGTCTTTTTCTGTGAAAGGGTGCCAGTGTGTGACCTGATGACGTAGTGAGACTTCAGTTATCTATGCATTCTTTATATCTGTGATTCGGTAAACAGGCAGCCACGTTCACTATGCCTTGGATGTCTTATCATTTTTTTAATTAATCTGTTAAATACAGCTTAAAATATTTTTATTTTATTTATTCTATTTTTACTGAAATATACTGCATTATTGTGTTAATGTATTATCTTTACTGGATATTATCTCACAATGTATCCAGGCCTAAATAATCTCAGTGAACTGTATACATTGCCTAAAAGGTGGTTTTGTAATGATTTATAGTCACATTTTTATTGGAATATGTAGAAGACAAAATGCTTACAGTTCCTTTTATTTTTTAAAAGCAGCTAGATAGACGCAGACTTGCCACCTCATGTCTGTGCTCCTTGGCAGCATCAAGGGGAATAGCCAACATGCCTATGGCTAGAAACTTTACTTTGCAAACTCAAGCACTGCCTGGTGCTTCGTTTTTATATCCTTCACGACACGTGTGATCTCATCTGAAAGACACATGTCCACATGCCCTCTGTTTCCCCCTGGATATAAGATTACCCATATCTAACTAGGACCATTGTTTTTTGTTTGTCTCTGTCTTATTGCATGAAGGGACATTAGACCCATTTCCATTAAAATAAGTTCTTGGTGATAAACTGTTGGCACTGCTACTTTTTAAAAAGTCCACTTTCTGATTTTATGATAGACATTTGTAAGGCGATCCTACACGAGGTTGGTTGCTAGAAGCCCTAAATCTTTCCTCCTTTGCTTGTATGACACACTCATTTCATAAGTGTTGCAACACAAATTCAAGATGTTGTAAACCATAAGAAAAACATTTCCCTAACTGATATTAGTACAATTTAACTAGTAAAATCATTAGCACTCTAGTTTGCCAGGCTGACTTAACATAATACAGAGCTAACGTGTGTTATACAGCCAGTAAAATGAAGTGAGTTTATTTCAGCTTCAGGGAAAAGGTCCTGCTCACACTTCATCAGTGAGAACACTCCCCTGCCGTCAAAGCAGCTTGTTTATCCCAAGAGAACGTTTGGTTTTGCTTTCTGCCCCTTTTGCTGTTGACCACTTTTACACATTTTAAATGTAATATGTTGTGAGAATAAACTTAGCTGCATAAAATGTTTGGCTCATTTATCTGACACCTCAGTCATATATCTCCAGGAATACAAATACCAGTTTAGTGTCTCCACCCTAGTCATTTTATTTTCAAATTTTTCTTACCTCCAAGTTAAAATCATTTTAGTAATGTCAAATTCTGCTTTGATTGCATATTTCCACCTGGTAAGAACTAGAAAGTAACTTTAAATTTTGAGTAGTTCGAGCCCGCCCTGGTGGCCTAGTGGCTATGTTTGGCCCACTCCACTTTGGCAGCCTTACTTTGGCCCACACCACTCATCTGTCCGTGGCCGTGCTGTGGTAGTGACTCACATACAAAAAGAGGAAGACTGGCAGTGGATATTAGCTCAGGGAGAATCTTCCTCAGAAAAAAAAAAAAAGTTCATCACACTGTCCTCGTTTGGTGATCAGGAAGGACAGCTGGCCTTCTGGACACAGAGGCCTGTTTCGTCACCATCTTGAGGCTTGTGTGAACAGTTTTTCTAGTATTAAGATAGTCTGTCTTTCATTTCCTTTAACAACTTGACATCAAAGAATAAAGGACAGAGTTGTACAGGCACTAAATCCAGAATGAAAGGTAACTGGAAGACTCAGTTGAATCTGGTTTAGTTTAAGTATGAGACATGGAAGAAGAGAAACAATCTAAAGGATGTACCCATTTTCTGTTCATCTTGCATTTCCCCCAGTAGTTTCTCTTTTTTACTCTGTCAAAGGCAGTTACTCTCAAGGAACAAAATTTCATTTGGTTTCAGATATTATAGAGTGGTAATAATTTCAGATAAAAATCTGAATTTTCTATTGGAGTATCTAAATACTAGTAATTTCATTGTTTTAGATTTTTGCAGCACTTTACTAAGTTCAAGAAAGAAAAATGTTGGTGTAATCAATATTCTTCTTCATTAGAATTCTCGCATATTGTTTTTATCCAAAGTATTTTTCCCTTTTTACTCTACCAAAGTATTTAAATAATTGCTCATGTCCTTCTTAGAAGATTCTTAAAGAAGAAAACTGCAAGCTTAATTAATGAATGGTTTAATTCAAAATCTCCATACACTTCTAAAGAGAAAAATAATTTAGCCACAAGATGCATGTTATGATACTGAAAATCAGTGGCTGAAGTTGTGACATGACACGAATCACATGCTGCTATAGAGATCAGAAAAACATGCTGAACTATTTCTAACAATGAGAGTTTTCTTTTTATAACTTACACAGAAAATAAAAATCTCAGACCTGCTACTGTTGGACAATGGAATACTTTTCAGCCTCAGGCAGGAGGAAGAGGACAGGAAAGGGAGAAACGATTCCTGGGATAAAATACCAGCTCTTCACCAAACACAGTTCAGTTCAGCTGCTCTGGCCCCCTAGGGGCATGGACTACTCTGAGCCAGCTAGAGAGTGGGAGTAAGAGGAAACAATATAATTTTTAGAGCAAAGAGATATATAGTTTTTGATTTTTGAAATGAGTAAAATAAGGTGAGCATTTAAAACATTTCTGTACTTTTTAAGAGTCGTAATTAACATGAGAATTCTTTTGGGATTTAAAATATAATAAGCCTGGTTCAAGTATAAAAAGTCTTGTTTCCTTCACTGACATTTTACTGATAAATGTAAAATCTGAAGCTTAAAAAAAATTATTACTACTAAAATTCATTTTTAAATTTTCACTTCAGGTGAGGAAATAAAGAATAAAATACTAGAGCTAAAATAGACCTAAATATTCATTTTGAAGAGGATAATATTTTACTAAAATCATGCTACCTGAATTGAACGTGAGAAATTTACATAATGTGTTCAACACAACTGGATTCTGAAAACGGAACTTCAAATTCAAACTGTATGAATGTGTCTGTGGACATTTTTTAAAAACAATAGGATTTATAGTTGTAACTTATTTGATTTAATGTCAAACAATTTCTGCTGCCATGATGAAAAAAAAATCAAGAGACCCAGAAATGATCATCATACCAGTTCTTGGTAGGCAACTGATAATACATTCAAGATGAAGTGACTTTTAATATAATTAACATAGTGTTACAATATATTTTAATTGCGCATCAGAAATCATTTGCCAAAGTTAGATTACTGTGTGCCATTTGAAATGACTTGTAGATTTTACTGTTTCACCTGATCTTGACTAGAATTGGAAATTTTTATAGGTTTCTTCAACAATAGGAATCATTTGTGTTCAACACTTTTGCCTGTTCCTCAGAGTTATTACTGTTTAGATGGAAATTTGCTTACAGTCACTTTTTACATCAGTCTTTGTCATAGATAGAAGAGAGCTGGCTATTTTCAGTCTGCTCAGGATCCTTCCTGGATGCTCTTCCAATGAGAAACAGTTTTCGCTCTGTAAACAGACGTCTGAACTACCCGACCTGGAACTCCGCAACTTCCTGTTCTTCCTACTCACGCTCAGTCACATTACAAAAACTCCTATCTGTTTAAAGGATATTTCGATATTTAAGGGAAAAAAACCAACCTCGATGGTGATTGAAAATATTAAACCACAACTGACTAGACGCTGAAGAGCAATCTAAAGTCGGTGAGAGAAGGCCAGCATCATCTTTTCCTTATCTATGCTTTCTGATATATTGCCTCACACATTAAGTTTGAAAAGAGGTCTAAGGCAGATAGTGTTTCCCTTCCAGAAAAACTGTTGCAGCTTTCATTTAAAACTGGTGTCCTAAGTCCAGACTGAAAGCTAACAGCTGATACTGAGTCCACAACTGGACAGTCTAGAACAATCAGCACTGAGCTGTTGAAATCTCTGAATTCTGCTTTGCTTAATCGCCTACATTATTCTCATCTGTCTTAATTCTCTTGAAGGTAATATCACATTTAGAAGATACTAAGTGACCGAAAGGATGAGTATCTTGTGCAGGGATGTCTAAGTTTCAGAGAAATAGCAGACTTTGAACAAAATCAACTGCTCTTGACCCCTGTAAAAAACACAAGACAGTCAAAGCCATGGTCGAGAACGCCTGGGCAGGGAGGAAGATAAGTTTTCTTTAGGCTTTTCCCCTCTCCTGGATAATGATGGTGTGGGAAGGTAGCCGGACACAAGAGTCTTGGGTGCACCCCAACGACAGTAAAAATGTTGAGTTGGCATCTGAGCTCTGGTCCCTTGAGGACTTGGAAATGGCAACATTACTGGAGGCAAAACAATCTCTACAGGTTTCAGAGCAACCATTTTGTCTTCTGGTCGAGGTCTTAGGAAGTTTGTCGGCCGTTCATACGGTCTGGAGGAAGATGTGTTCTTCGTAAGTGTAGGCACTAAAGGATTGGTGGCAGGCTTGTTGGATTTTCTGACCTGTGTGGAAGAACCCACTTGAGTTACATTTTTCTGTTGAAGAGATGTTTTGGCTAATGTCTCTGACTGATTAGCATTTGCATTAGTTTCTTGATTCAGGAACTCAGCAATTTTCATTTGGATGCCGTTACTGTCAGTGGTGGAAGTTTTGGGGAATGATATTTTTGATTTTTTCTTCTTTTTCTCCCGTTTTGAAGATTTAGCCAACTCAATCCCATCCAGTAGACCCTTTGCTGCAGCGCGGGCCAAAACATCTTTCACAGACACTGTCTCAGATGGGTCCCGCTACAATTAAAGAAGCAGTTACTAAATGTGGGAGTTAGCTATTACTGTGTATATTACAAATATTTATCAATGTTTCAGTAAAAATAAGAGTATCCTTATTATACTAAAATCGTTTTTAGATCTTTGTTTCTAAGGTATCCCTTAAGCCTCAGCAAATGACTTTTTTTGTGCTTAAATTCCCCATTTGTGAACCTGATAGAAAAAAATTACAGAGCTTATTTCTTGCATATAAAGCAAGGTGAACTAGATGTTGACAAAGTGCATGGAGAGGTGGGAGTGGACAGCAAGCAAGGGAGGAACACTCAGGAGAAAGTATAAAGATAAAAATAGGGATTTTTTTTTGCCACACGGTAATAATTCTTTTTCCTCCCTTTGTCGATTATGAAATAAGCACACCATTACAAAATGTTCGCAAATTCCTAGGTTCCTTTTATGAGGCTTTGTTGTTTCTTAATTCCAAAGTATGCCATGGATTGAAATTTTTTTTCCTTACCTCCCTTGTTAGAACAGAAAGAAAACAACCATTGGTAATTTCGGATGGTTCCATTCTGAAAAATTTATCAGTAGACAGATGTATTTCCTTCAAGGAGCACAGTGGCAGGACGGGAGGACTAAGCCTGCAGGAGATATGAGCAAACAATTCACAGTTAGGATGGCTTATTTGCCAATCGAGGGGGACAGTAAATTGCAACCAATTTTCTTCTGTTAGGTTTTTCACCAATCATGTAAACAAAAATTCCAAATAAGGATAAAGTGCTGAAGAAGTATAATACTGTTCTAAATTTAAAAGTCCCATATTTCATATTAACTCATAATTTATTCTTCCTAAGTTCTCCATCTTTAAACAGCTATGCCAAGAATACCAACCTTCCAACAAATTAAAATCTCTTCCCCGAGTCATTAATATAACAAAAAAGGCTTCCATTATCAAAGCAGGTAAATATGTATAGTAATCACAAAGGTATAATCCAAAATATCCTTTACTTCCACATGTTGTCAAAATACAAAAAGTATAACTTCCTTCTTTTGGCTACTTTTCCACAACTACAATATAGACATGAGTCGCTTAATGACGGGGCTGTATTCTGAGAAATGCATCATTAGGTGATTTCATCGTTGTGCGAACATCATAGAGTGTATTAACACAAACCTAGATGGTATAACCTACTGCACTCCTAGGCTCTATGGTACCAATCTTATGGGACCACCATCATCGGTGCGATTTATCATTGACTGAAACACATAACTGTGTAAAAATATGACCTATCATTTTCACTACATTATTCTTACCAATCACTTTTTGAGTATTAATGGATGAGTTATGTAGTGTTAAAGAAAGCAAGTACATAACAACAACAGAAAGACTTTGTGTCAGAAATATAAAAATCTCTAATCACTAATATGTTTAAAATAAAATTCTGGGGGCTGGCCCCGTGGCCGAGTGGTTAAGTTCGCACGCTCCGCTGCAGACAGCCCAGTGTTTCGTTGGTTCGAATCCTGGGCGCGGACATGGCACTGCTCATCAAACCATGCTGAGGCAGTGTCCCACATGCCACAACTAGAAGGACCCACAACGAAGAATACACAACTATGTACCGGGGGGCTTTGGGAAGAAAAAGGAAAAAATAAAATCTTTAAAAAAAAAAATTTCAGTTTTTAAAAAATAAATAAATAAATAAATAAATAAAATTCTGGTTTTTATATTTAATTTCTCCTTCAATAGTAAGTGGTTCATTTTTAAATAATTCTCATATTCCCATACTTTTACAACTAAAATATATTTAATCAAAGCAATAAACACTTTTCCACATAAATTAAAATACCAGGAACTCTTATTAATAATTTTGTTTATTCTAAAATTTAAAACCATTATAAGTTTATATTTATTAATTCATTATTTGCTTACTATGTGCAAAGCACATAAATAAAATATTAATTCTCTTAAATAGTTTACAATTTAGTTGGAGAACCTAATTGGTTTGCAATAATATAAAGAAGACCAGCCATATAAAAATTGCATAAGAAATCCATTAAAACAATGAAGACCAAATAAGAATGTTGAGGGCAAGTAGAGACAAAATTATGTAGGAGTACAGAACAAGGTGCAACCAACCCTAGCCAGGGGAGAGAGCAAATGTGGGGACTTCACAGAGGAAGCGGCAGCAGTACTACGATTTGAAGAATGAGTAGGTTTCCAATAAGGTAAAGAAGGCGATTCTAGACAGAAAGAACAGGAACAAAAGCACATGTGTCATGAAAATGTATGTTCAGGGTACAGCAAGTATTTCCATGTGGCTGGGGTATAAGGTGAGTAAGGGGATGTAGAGGTCACAGGATGCAGGCAGACACACATGCCAAAGAGTCTGGCAAATGGTGGTACTTCATAAATGCTTATGCTGAACTAAGCTGAAATGTAATAGCTGTGGGGCCAGCCTGGTAGCGTAGTGGTTAAGTTCGTGCGCTCCACTTTGGCAGCCCAGGGTTCACTAGTTTAGATCCTGGGCACGGACCTACATACAGCTCATCAAGCCATGCTGCAGTGACGTCACACATACAAAACACAGGAAGACTGACACAGATGTTAGCTCAGCAAGAGTCTTCCTCAAGCAAAAAGATGAAGATTGGCAACAGATGTTAGCTCAAGGCCAATCTTCCTCACCAAAAGAAGGTGAAGAAAAAAAAAATATATATATATATATAATAGCTGTGTACATTCTAAAGGCAAGACAGCTAGTTGCTCCTATCACCAACCTTGTAACCAACAAACTGAATTTCTGAAGCCTATTCATATATGTTCCCCACACAAATAGAAATTATCAAAGAAAAATTATTTACTTATATATTAGGTAGAGAATACTCTCTGATAATTCTGAACAATTTAGAAAATATTTAGCTCCAGAAAGTAAATATGAAGGTTGGGATTTTTTTTTCAGTTTTAATTCACTGATACATTCCTAGAACCTAAAAGAGTGCTGGGTACATAGTAAGTATTCAATAAATATTTATTTAATAGACTATGATATATTTTAGCTACATATATGCTGTCTTTTATAATGCTAAAAATAATCCATAATTAAGATTGGTCAAGTTACTTTACAGAAATTGCCCCTACATAACAAAATGATTTCCACCCCAGCTTACAGCTCACATCTTTTAAGAATAAAATAAGTTTGTACCCAGAGTCTCACTCATACTTCACTTAGATATGACATATGGGATTTTTTGAATTGATGATATTTAGATGAGATTTTGGATTTGGAATTAATCCTGTAATGGATGAAGGCTTTTGAGGATGTTGAGGTGGATTGAGTGTACTTTGCACATGAGACAGACATCAATTTGGGGGGGCCAAAGTGTGGACTGTGGGTTGAACAGTGTCCCCCAAAATTCATGTCCACCCAAAACCCCAGAATGTGACCTGATTTGGAAATAGAATCTTTGCAGATATAATTAGTTAAGATGAGGTGATACTGGAGTAGGGTAGACCCTAAATCCAATATTGGCGTCTGTATAAGAGAGGATACACAGAGACGCACAGAGGAAGAAGGCCCTGTGAAGATGGAGGCAAACGTTGGAGTGATGAAGCTACAAGCCGGGGAATGCCAAGGATTGCTAGCAAACACCAGAAGCTAGAAGAGAGGTACAGAACAGATTCTCTCTGAGAGGCTCCAGAAAGAACCAACCCTGCCAACACCTTGATTTCAGACGTCTGGTCTCCAGGACTGTGAGAGAATCAAGTTCTGTTGTTATAAGTCACCAAGTTTGGGATAATGCGTTGTGGCAGCCCAGGAAAATAATATACATGGCAAAAGGAATTTTGCAGATGTAATTAAGGTCTCAAATTAGTTAACCTTAAGCTATTGGTATTATCTGGGTGGATCCGACCTAATCACATGAGCCCTTTAAATCCAGGTCTACAGGTCAGAGATGGAAGGAATCGGAGAGTCAAAGCATGAGAAGAGTATGAGGGACTATTGCTGGCTGGAAGATGGAGGAGCAACATAGCAAGGAATGAACATGGCCTCTAGAAGCTGAGCACAATCTTGGATTGATAACCAGCAAAGAAATGAGGACCTCAGTTCTACAACCTCAAGAATGGGGTTGGAAGTGAATTTTTCCCCAGAGTTGCCAGCAAAGAATCCATCAGGCTGACTTCCTGAGCAGAGAATCTAGCCATGCCATGCCAGACATCTGACCTACAGAACTCTGAGCTAATTATGGGTGTTGTCTTTAGCTGCTATATTTGTGGTAATTCCTTAAGCAGAAATAGAAAACTAATACATACGGGCTCACATTAAGTGAGAAGAAATGGCAGACTGCCATGGCAGACGGGGGAGAAGGATGAGAAGCCTCAGAGGAGGCAGCTTGCTCCAGTGGATATCCTATTAAGGCTGGAGAACACACTAGTGGACTGTGTTGAGAGGAGGCCTGGAAGATACACCCCTTATCAGAGCAACAAGGAATGTGCTGGTAAGAGTGGCACCAGCAGCTCTCAGAAGTTCAGGGGCGGCTTTCCTCCATAGGCCAGCACTGACAACAGGAGAGGCCATTACAGACCTGGGCTCATTGACAGCAATGAGGATAAAAGGATCCAGAGACAATAGAGACCAGGTGAGCAACTTGCCCATCAGAAGCCAGGTTTATGTGGTTAATGATGATCATAATGAGTACAAAGGCTGGAATAGCCATCCAATTCTTCTCATGTACCACTTTCCTTCCCCACCCTCCACCTTTGCTAGGTATCAGAAAATCAAAACGTAGGATACAATCTATCAGTACCTACCCCTCAAACTCAAAGACTGTTCACTATTAGAAAATACTTAGCACTAATTCACCACCATGTTAGAATGTCAGATGAGAAAAACATTTAATATCATAAAATGCTGCAAAATTTTCGATAAAACTAGGCATCCATTTTAAAAACCTCTTATTGTGGTACTGGCATAAGTATAAACATATAGATCAATGAAATAGAACTGAGAGTTCAGAAATAAGTCCATACATCCATGATAAATTGATTTTCAACATGGGTGCCAAGACCATTTAATGTGGACCATTCAACAAATGGTGCTGGGATAACTGGATATCCACATGCAAAACAATAAAGTTGGACCCCTACCTCATATCGTATACAAAAATTAAACAAAATGAATCATAGACCTAAATGTGAGAGCTAAGACCACAAGACACTTGGAAGAAAACATAGGCATAATTCTTTGTGATCTTGGATTAAGCAACAGTGTCTTAAATATGATACCTAAAGGACAAGCAACAAAATAAACAGATAAATTGTACTTCAAAATTACAAACTTTTGTGCATTAAAGGACTATAACTAAAGTAAAAAGACAGTCCAAAGATGGGAGATAATATTTGCAAAGTATATATGTGAGATGGGTCTGATATACATATAAAGGACTCTTACAATTCAACAATAAAAATACAATGCAATTTCAAAATGGGCGAAGAATCTGAATAGACATTTGTCCAAGGAAGATATACAAATGGCTAAAAAGCACATGAAAAGAAGCCCAACATCATTAGTCACCAGCAAAATACAAATCAAAACCACAGTGAGATACCACTTCACACCCACTAGGCTGGCTAGAATTAAAAAGTCAGATAATTACAAGTATTGGTGAGGATGTGGAGAAATCGGAACCCTCCTACACCACTGATGGGAATGTAAAATGATGCAACCGCTTTAGAAAACAGTCTGGCAGTTCCTCAAACATAGAGTTAACCAGACAACTCAGCAATTCTACTCCTTGGTATATACCCCAAGAGAAATGAAAACTTATGTCCACGTAAAAACTTGTACACAAATATTTATAACAGCATCATTCTTAATATCCAGAAGGTGGAAATAACCCAAATGCCCATCAGTTGATGAGTGCATAAACAAAATGTGGCATATTCATACAACGGAATATTATTTGGCTTTCAAAGGAAGGAAGTTCTGATACTTTGTATTACATGGATGAACCTTGAAAACATCATGCTAAGTGAAAGAAGCCAGACACAAAAGGCCACATCTTGTATGACTTCATTTAAATGAAATGTCTAGAATTGGCAAGTCCATAGAGAAAGAAAGTAGATTAGCAGTTGACAGGAGCTAAGAGAGCAGGGGAATGGGAAGTGACGGCTGAGTGGGTATGAAATTTCTTTTTGGGGTGATTGAAAATGCTATAGAATTAGTAGTGATGGTTGCACAACTTTCTCAATATACTAAAAAAGCATTAAATTGTACACATTAAAATGATGAATTGTATGGTTTGTGAGTTATAGTTCAATAAAAAAAAACTTATTAAAATAGGGACAGTTCCATACATTTAATGTATACATTATCTGTAACAATACACACACACACACACTATATGGCTGCTATGTGACTGGGACACACTGGGATGGTCACGCCAGTGGTAAAAATATCAGTACTTGTGGGCTTAGTCTAGGTGCTCCCGCTCTCCCAGTGCCCCTCCAGACCTCCACATAATAAAAAGGAATGAAGGATTACACCTGGCTTGTCAAGGCACTTTCAGGACCCTGCTCCAGCTACTGCACACTTTGGGATTTGGAGGCAGAGGGATATAGCGAGGAAATTATTAACCTTCTCCTTATGTACATTTGGATTGTTTCATTTGATACACAAATGTGGGTAGGGGTTTTTGCAATTAAACAATTAATAAAATTTGAGAAAACTATTTAAAATTATAGTAATTAAAGCATTGTCGTGTTAGTATAGAAATAGCCAAGCACCAATAGAATAGAATTACAGATCCACACAGAAGTATATATGGGATTACAGCATATACAAAAGGTGGCATTTTAAATCAGTGGGGGGAGGGGCAGGGGACGGATTTTCTGAGGAAAGAATAAAGTTTGATCATAAACAGATAAATCAATTATTTAAATACAAAAAGATGAAATTATAAAAATACTAAATGAAAACTGATAAAAGCATTTATAAGCTGAGGATCAATATAACACAAAATGTAGAAGCCATAAGGAAAAGATTGATACAATTGTCTACACAGAAATTTAAGATTTCTATAAAGCAAATTTTTATTAATATTTTAATTAAAAATATTTAAAACAAAAAATCTATGAAATATTTGTAATTAATATGAAAACAGCTAATATCCCTACTATACAATGACAAGACATATAAAAAGAAGAAAAAGATGAATAATACAGTTGAAAAAGTGGTAAAGAACATGAACAGGCAATTTACAAACTAATAATAACAACTGTAACAATTAACATTTATGGAACATTTATTATGTGCCAGGCACTGCTCATGTTTTAATATACTCATTCCCCACAAAGATCCAGTGAGGTGGGTAATGTCATAATCCATATGTGACAGCCACCCTTCCTTCTCCTCCTTTCACAGCACACTCTCCCACTTAACAGAAAAGTGCACTTACCTTATTATTGCACATTGTCCTGGGATGTTAAAATCTCTGGGGTGCTAAACAAAGGGACGACTCAAGAATGTGGCTCTCTTCTACCGTAGCACAGCAGAGGTAGGGAAGAAATCTTTAAGAGGACGCCAAACTCTCAGCAAAGCTCTGTTCTTGAACAAACTTCCCTCCTCTCTCTCTCCCTTTTTTCCTTCTTTCCTTTCCTCCCTTCCTTCCTTCTGCCCTCCCTCTTCTTCCCTCTCCTACTCCGTCTCCTTCCCTTCCTTAGTGCTATCTATCTATCTATCTATCTTAGAATTAAAATTAGGAGTAAATCATGGGGGCATATTAACATGCTTATTTGAACTAAAAAAGTCAGGCTTTTTCTGACAAGGTAAATCTCGGTTTGTTTTTTTTTTAAGATTTTATTTTTTTCCTTTTTCTCCCCAAAGCCCCCCGGTACATAGTTGTATCTTCTTAGTTGTGGGTCCTTGTAGTAGTGGCATGTGGGGTGCCGCCTCAGCATGGCCTGATGAGTGGTGCCATGTCCACACCCAGGATCCGAACTGGCGAAACCCTGGGCTACAGAAAAGTGGAGCGTGCGAACTTAACCACTCGGCCACTGGGCCAGCCCCCTCAACAGCATTTCTAACAAGTAGTTACAAACCTCTTCAATATACATGCTCCAATTTAAGCCCAAAGCCCAGATTATTCTGTCTTTATAATATGACTTTAAATATTACTTATGTGTTTTATACTATATTATAGATTAATTACTAATCATGGCTTACCTGAAATAAAATCTAGAAGATAAAATACAGATGTTACTCCATTTTTGCCAGATTACATTCTTAGAAACCTTATCCCTGACACACAAATTCAGAGTCATCCACAGAAATGAAATTTGGTTATATACCCGCAATAATTCTCTTTGCCACTAGATGGTGATTTAGCTAATGCTGTGCTGAGAAGCTCTCAGAATGTGAGGCTGGCTGTCAGCCCCCAACAGGAGCTACTAACTAAGGAGGTAGAGCTAAGTAAGGAGAGAAACGCAGGTGTGATTAACACGGCCACTTGTGAAACGGCAAAGGGGAAACACGAAATTAAATGGAGGGAGCAAACCATATGCATATTAAGAACCTACTATAAGAATTAAAGAAAAAGCGCACATGAGAAATAAGTAAAAAAATAGAAGAGACGTTTTAAAATACCTTATTAATTGTCACAGACTTGAAGAACCAACTGGTGTCACGTATTCTTAGCTCTACTCATTACTTTGATGTCCACAGTTCAGATGAATATCACTGTTTTTCTTCTTTTCCTCTAGTTTATTGCAGCATTTTACCCAGAAGCTACTATAGTTATTTAGGCAATGTTTACCTCATTCCTGGTGGGTATCAAAGGCTAAAAGTGTCTATGAAATGTATGTTTTCAGATAACATCCAATTTTCTCTCTACTTTCTAAGGTTATTTTACATACTTATTTTTCTTGTACTGAGGCATAGATGTATCTAAAGCTTGGGATATAAAATTTGGATCCAATTTATCCAGAACCAGACAAGTCAAAGCCAAAATGCCTTAGCTTTACCAACAATAACAACAACAAAAAGAATCTTTTGGCATGCAAAAGAACACTCATGCCAAGCCATCGTAAAGGCTCAGCAGAAGCTACATAAAGTTGTAAAAAAAATTAGGCTATTTGGTCATATTAAAGTCTAACAAAAAGGAAGTGTAATGTCTTTAATACAACTTAGAAAATCATAATCATTCACTTTCAAAAATATTTGATCAAGTTGTTCAGAAGGACCCTTTTCTTTTTTACCTGTAAGGTTGTACTTTAATCCCATGGTCTTGAAATTCCAGTGCTTTCTTAACAACAGCTTCATTTTCTTCTGGATAAACTGAACATGTGCAGTAAACAACTGCTTGAGCTTTAGTAACTATATTTAAAGAAGATGTAATTAATATAATGATCCCAGTAACAATCCTAAACAAATTTGCTATGTTTCCAAACACCTATTTATGCTAGTACTGCATGGTTTTGATGGGAATGATTTCCACAGATGTTTGCATGGCTCTCCTTTAAAGCAAGTATTAGTAATGTTTCTGTGGCCAATAAATAAAGTAAATCTAGCTGGAGTTTTATGGAAATTGAAAATTCAATCAATGTGACCAACCTAGTTAGAAACAAACAAAAAATAAATACTGCAGATTACCATGAGCTCGATATTTCACCCCTTCTTCTACTGGCCATATCGCATAACTAGTTAAAAGGATTCTAGAAACAGACTTAGATGTGAATCCCCATTCTGTTACTCACTGCTGTATGAACCTGGGAAAATTACTTAAACTCTCAGATTTCTTATCTGTAATATGCAGTAATACTGCAACCTGCCACCCACTCATTTATTCACACTCATTAAGCACCTACTACATGCTAGGCACTGTTCTAGCCATTTGAGATACACAGACAAATATCCCTGCCCCTGGGGAGCTTATTTCCTGTTTTATTGACATGAATAAATAGGAAAATTATATAGTATTGTTAGGAGGTGATAAGTGCTATAGAAAAAAACAAAGAAGGTATGGAAGAGGGTTAGTTTCAGAAGATGATCCTCTAATTTTAAATAGAGTAGTCAGAGAAAGCATTAGAAAAATTATTTATCAACTTCCTAAACTTCCAACCAACACATTTCATAGATCATATACATACTATCATGTTCAAATTAATATTTATTAGCAGCATCAACTAAAAGGGCAGATCTCCTCTGTGCTTTCCATTTCACCTTATTTCTCCCTCACGTATGCTATATCTTTATGTCTTGAATTATCTATACCCACATATTTATCTTGGAGCCTTTGGAGGTCAGGATTTACTCACACTCATATCCCTAACACCAAACGTAATGCCTAGCCCAGAGTAGACAGTTGATAAACACTGACTGAATTCATAAAAATTTATGTAATTTCTCAGAGACTTCTAAATTTCCATATCCATGTGTGGAAGGGCAGTGGTACTCAAAATCTAAATGGTACTCAAAGATAAATGCAGTGATTGAAGCAATAATATAAATACTTAAAGAGCTTTGTTACTCAGGCTTCAAATCCAGAGATCTAGGCTTTATCTATAATTGCATCTCTCTATTCTCTATTTAGCATTAAGGGAAATAAGAGTTTGATTACTATTTGGATTGTAGAAGAGTTGTTAGGCTCAGGAACAAGGACAACAGAAAAATTACATCAAGTAAGAAGCCAAAGAAAAGAAATAGAGAAGATGAAACTACAATAATAGATATACAGTACATAATTATTTTCACATCAGCAACAAGAAACTCTTAACTATGCTTGCTAAACTATATTTTTAAAAGACAGATTAAACTGGTAAAAATATTTTGTTATTTGAAGGTGCTGAGTTCTGGAAAATTCACTTATGATTCATACCTCATTGACTGATTATAATAAATAAATGATTTTTCTAGGATTTACAATATATTTTAGGGTTGCACAGATAACAAACTTACATTTCATTGCATGTGTTAGCTGTTCATACTGCTGTTGAGCAAGAACATGAAGTTTATCTTCTGATGTGCCTCCTTGAGAGAAATCTTTAAGTAAACCTGTATCTAAAAGCAAATCAATGCTTTTAAATATATAAGTATTAGATGTTTTCCATATATTCCTATTATCAAACTGCTATTTAATTTTTCAATCATTTTCCCTATTAATGAGAGTTTTCATGGAAAATATTTATTAAAACTAGATAGTATTGTAAAAATGTTGACTTAAAATTAAAAAACTGAATTGATAAAGGTAATTTTGTTTAGTTTTAATATTGTTTTCTTTTTTCTCCAAGTTCTCCTGGGATAGTCATCCAAGCAGCCAAATAAGTCCTTTAGGTAGAGAAGAGAGGATGCAGTTAGTCTGGAGGCTAATAGAGGAGCAGAGAAGATTGATTTTGCACAGTAGAACTGATGGGCTATAATCAGATCTGAGTAGGAAAGAACACAAATGGATACAGTAGAAAACATTAACTCACCAAAAGAAATTCTGGAAGATAAAAATTCAGGGAAGCAACTCATGTCTTCATAACAGATCAAGAAACTCTTGCAGTAATCTTTTTTAATTTCTAAAACTAATTTTAACATATTTCTTGATAATATTAACTAAGACATATTGAATGATACTCTATATCGATTATCTTATTCAACAACCCTTGGAGCATTATTTTCTCTTTTAATATTGAGAAAAATGTTTAATACACATTAAACATATCTAAGGTCACATAGCTATTAGTACAGAGCCAGGATTCTAGTTCAGAAATCTAACCAGGGAGCCCACATTTCTAGCCTCTGTATTATTCCGCCTCTCAGTAACTCCCTGGAGTACCAGAGCCAATTATTTAGACCATCTATTTGGCTGCTCCTCATTCCAGTAGTATCACTGAAGATTAATAAAACTTCATTTCTTCCCAATTTAGTTTTATACTTCACATTTTTCTATCTCTATTCTAAAACTATCAGTCACTTTTTAAAGGACTATTTACATATTATACTCTAAAACCACATCAATTACCTCTTTCATCCCACTTTAAAATAATTCCAAGTTGTTAGCAATGACCAATTTGATATATTCCTCAATGGTTCTAATATTTTTCAATATTAAAATATTTTTCAAAACTATTTCATGATTGCTCCCTTCCACTTACTATCTAAATGTGATAAAATAATGTTTTAGATTCATCCCCACTAGGTTTCTGGCTACTATTTCTACCACACTCGCTAGGTCAGCAGTTATTTTCTCCAGCTATTACCTCATCAGAGCACAGTTTCCTTCAAAAGCCCTCCTTTTTTTCCCCAGGGTTGTCAAAGACCACTTCTTGGCTTATCCTGTCACCTCTTCATCAAGGCTTTCAAAACACTGCCAATACCTAGGAAACTTTTTACTTCTCTCTTTTCATCATTTGTAATTCCCTTTGGGCTTTTCCCCCCAGCCTCTAGTTTATTTTTCCCTATGGCTTCCTTTTTTCTGCATTCTCACTTCAAGATGGCCCAGGATAAGACCAGAGTCTCAGACTTCTAAGCTCTTGGTTCTCTTGACTGCAATGCTTTCCTATAGCTGCTGCTGTTTCCTCCTCTCTTATTTCAGTGTCTACTAACTCTTCTTCTCTGATCATTTCCCAAAATTAGTGTAGGAATTTTCTCAGCCTACCATTCTCCCATCTGAGTTGGTTTTTCTTCTGTTTAACTCTTACTGGAAAGAAATTTTCTATAGCAAGTCAAAATTCCACATGGTACAGTGTAAGCCCAGTTGAAGATGGTGTGGTACAGTGGAATTCTTTTTATAGCGTAGTATAGTGGAATGTGCTAACTGAACTGAATTTGAATCCCAGCTTCCCTACTTACTAGCTACATGACCTCAGGCAACCTGAAAAATTTCTCTGAGTCTTGGTTTTTTCCCCCTTATAAAATAGAGATAATAAAATGACACAGCCTCAAAAAGTTATTGTAAATATTAAGTGACAGTGCATGCACACTACCTAGAATACTGACTGGGACACAGTTGTGCTCAATAAATATTAGTTCCTTTCCCTCCATTTCTTTTTCTCCATTTAAAATTCTGTCCTTACTAGAAACAGAAAACAATTACCATACTCTGAATGTTGATAGAATGTCTTCTTTCTCTAATATTCTAGTTAACCTTACCTATGCCTTTCAATGTAAACAAGGGATTAAAGTAAGAATCAGTTTCAGTTAACACTAGGATTAAGAGAGTGATTCAAAGTGCCAGCCTCGGGGTCAGAGCGGTTGTATTTGAATCCAGCCTCTGTCACTTACTAGTCAAATGACTCTGGGAGGCTCCAAAATCTGAGCCTCAGAGTCCACATTTGTAAAATGGAGATAATAAGAGTACTACTTTACTGAGTTCTTGTGAGGATTTGATGAAATAATCCAAGCAAAGTGCTTAACTCAGTGCCTTACATACAAGTGCTCAATAAATGTTAATGTTAAATAATATTTTAAAGTTTATTAAAGAAGAAAATATTTCTAGAATTAATATTTAATCTGGGGTATTCATATCATAAAACACACATACTGGAGGCTAAAGAAGTCTTGAGTTTGAAATAGTCCGATTATGATTTAATTAGGATTGTATATAGAGCATAAGCTCCAGAGTAAGGCAGATCTAAATTTGAATCCTGGCTCTGTTACTAACTAGCTGTGTGACCTTATACAAATGAATTACAGTAGACGCGCCTTATCTGCAGTTTCACTTTCTGAAGTTTCAGTTACTGGTGGTCAACTGCAGACATCACCTGCTCCTGACACCCAGCCATTGACATCGTGACGGCTCAACGATCCTCCTTCTGACTATAGTGAGGTCTGTGGTAGCCTAATGCCACTTCACAATGTCTGCGTCAGTCACCTCACTTCATCTCATCAGTAGCCGTTGTATCATCTCACATCATCACAAGAAGGGTGAGTACAGTACAAGAAGATATTTTGAGAGAGAGAGACCACATTCACATAACATTTATTATAGCATATTGTTATAATTATGCTATCTTATTATTTAGTTAGTGTTGTTAATCTCTTACTCTGCCCAATTTATAAAATAAACTTTATCATATGTATAGGAAAAAACATAGTCTATATAGGGTTCGGTACTATCCAAGGCTTCAAGCATCCATTGGAGGTCTTGGAACATACCACCATGGATAAGGGAGACTACAGTAATCTTTCTGAGTCTCAGTTTTTTCATCTATAAAATGCTGAGAAATTTTCATGCCTATATTTTGAGCTCTGGTAAATACGAGAATACCATACTGGCCAGCATCTGTTCTAATTACCTACATCATTCCAATTATGAAATATTTTTAATATCCCCCTTGCCCATATCTCACAGGATTGGTATAAGAATTAAGTGAAGTAATGGGTGTAAGTACTTTATACTTAGTAAGTACTTTATACATGGTAGCTATTCATTAATCAGATATATCTGATATGTCATTTTAATGATTTTAAATAATTTTATTTTTTAAATTATTAACCACAAATTTCAATAATTTAGAAATTAAAAATTAAAACAAGTACCTTCATGCTCATTTAAAATAAATTCTACTGGATTACTAACACCCAGTCCTGAACAACGAGGGAGCAGCAGGATCACTTTAACTTTCTGTAATCTATGGTCCTTTGAGTCAATGTTAATAAATGTCTCAGGAAGTATTTCAACATCTGGGAGGAAAAAAAACCAGAAAAATTAATGTAAAAATATTAATTAAAAATCTTAATGCAGTATGTAATTATATCTATCATTGTTCATTTTTAAATCCTCAACCCCAACAAAAGTCATTTTAATGCAGCCAGAAAAGAGGGCTATTCTTCTCTGATAACTTTTCAAATACATGAATTTTCTTAATGGAGTGCTTTCTCTTTCACTTGAGAGAATAACTTTGAAGTTTAAATATCTTCTACATAAAATGTAATGTAAATTTTCCATTCTGAACGTCAGATTCCAAGCAGTATGATGTAGGAGAGGCAAATGGGCTTTGGAGGCAGAAATACCCAAGTCTTCTCCCAACTTCACCATTTACTAGCTGCATGACAATCTCTCTAAGCTCCTTTCCTAATGCATAAAATGGGATAATAATGCCTACCTCATCTATTGTGCTGACGATTGAGGTAAAGTAGTTAAGCTTTACATGGTGCCTAGTATACAGTAAGTGTTCAGTATTGGTTATTTCTCGTTCCTATTTTTTTTTCTTTTTCTTTTTTTGAGGAAGATTAGCCCTGAGCTAACATCTGCTGCTATTCCTCCTCTTTTTGCTGAGGAAGACTGGCCCTGAGCTCACATTTGTGCCCATCTTCCTCTATGTTATATGTGGGATGTCTACCACAGCATGGCTTGCCAAGTGGTGCCATGTCCGCACCTGGGATCCAAACCTGGCGAACCCTGGGCCAACGAAGTGGAACGTGTGAACCTAACCACTGCGCCACGGGGCCAGTCCCTCTCTTTCCCATTTTTAAGCCCTGTTTATATTTTATCTTCCCTAGAAAAAATGAGTATCAGTAGCGATTATGAGGCACTGTAATTTAGTTTAAGAGAGTCCACCCTCCCTCAGTTACAACTCTCTGTGCCCCTACCTTAAGGCCACCCCCTCACTTCTGCAATGGCTCCCACTTCCCTCAACTGCTGAGGAGTCACTCCTGAAACTGCCCTACTCACCTCCTTTCTCTTGCCTGGTCAATTTTTCCCCTCTTTTTATTCTGTCTCTTTTGAATTTTTTTAAAAAAATCAAGTAGGCCTTTTCCTTTTTTCCTCTATTTTTAACTTTTTATTGGAAAAGTTAAAATATAGACAAAATAGATATAATATATAATAAATTCTCAAGTACCCATCATGGAGCTTCAACAGTGAACCATTCATGCCCAATCTTGTTTCACCTATATCTGCACCCACTTCCACCACCCCCATATTATTTTGAATCTATAAATATTTCACCATATAGCTCTAAAAGATAAAAACTCCCTTTAAAATACAACCACACAAAGTTCTTTTAAAAATTCCTCATTATCATCAAATAATAATGGCATCTAATCATGGCTCTAATTTCCCCATAGTCTCACACACGTCAAAAATTGTTTACAGTTTCTTTGAATCAGGATCTAAATAAGGAACATACATTACAATTGGTTGATAAGTCTTAATTTTCTTTTTATCTATAGGTTCCCTTTCCATTTTTCTTACCATTTATTTCTTAATGAAACTTGGTTATTTGTCCTACTAGAGTTTCCCAGTCTGGATTTTGCTAATTGCTTCCCTAGAGTGTAGTTTCACATGTTCCTGTCTTCTGTGCTTCCTATAAATTAGTAGTTGGATCTTTAGAAGCATAATTAGATTCAGATTCTTTTTTGTTCTTTTTTTCTTTTTTTTGGTGGGGAGGAGAACAAAACTACTTCATTATTGGTGTCATATTCATCCATTAAGCTGCCTTTGTGGTATCAGGAAAGGGGTTGCAAAATAGTCATATTCTAATTCTGTCATCCTTTTTTCATTTATTACCTAGAATACTTCTAAAAGGAGAAACTTCCTTTCCTCTACTGCTTGGTTACCCAGTAGTTCCTATCATCTCTGTTAACTAGGCAAAAGGTGGTCAACAACTTGAGAACTCTAACGTGTACAGAGGTAATAACTGCAGAGAGTAGCCACTACCAACCATGGCTGAGAGAAAAGTGAACAAGGAACTTAGAAAGTCAGAAGAGCACGGCCCCTGCAAGGCTGAGATTCAGATCTCTGCAAAGAAGGCAAGGCTAACACTGCCAAGACTCCTGCACAGCCACCACAGGGATAAACAAACACTGGAAGAAAAACAAAAGTCCTTTCTCCTTCCTCTTCCAGTCTTGCAGTGTCTCTCCAGCACCTTCTAATGGCAGAGCCTAATATTTCTGAGCCAGCTGGCAACAGAAAAAGAATATTGGGAGTACAGTTTTACCTTATTAAAAAATAACAAATTCAAACATTTTTAACATTTCTAAATCTTGTAGAACAGTAAGCACCAAAAAAATAAATATTTGTACATACTTTTACATCCCATTTTTGTGAAAAGGTTCATCAGTTTAGGATCCTTAGCTTGTGATTGTACTCCACACACAAATATTTTTGAGGTATTATTATTTGTTAGGACTGACATATGGGCAACTGTGTACCACGAACCTGTATTGACCATTAAGATATCATCATCCATGTTTAATAAAGCTTTTATAGAATGGACAGCCAGACTTCGAGATTTGTCCTACAAGACAAGGGTATGATTAGAACTTCAAAGAGTTAGACTAGAAGCATGAACTGACTTCATTTTGCCTTAGGTAAAACAAAGTACTTGGTAGGAATTTGAAGAGATACCTAATCCGTTTTAGTTTAAAACATCTTAATATATGTTAAAATACAAAATTAAAAAAGATAACTGATATAAACTGATTTAAAACAAAGACCCTAACTTTGTTTAGCCTAAATTACGACTGTTATCATTTAACTTTTATATAGTGATAAGGCAATGCCAAAATACCAAAAACATGATTAACAGATTAATGATGTCCTGCCTTAGCTCCCATTCTTACCCCTTCAGGAAAACCCACTCCTCTGCTACTGCCATTCTTTCATTACATTGTCATCTAAATGCTGCTAGTTCACAGATATTAAAATTAAGGATGGTCGACAAGCTTATAAAAGAGGGCTAGGTAGACTGGATTTCTGCAGTTGATCTCAGTGCTCACTAGGATGTTACCGTAAAATAAGGGCAAGAGCTTCTGCCCAAGAATGTGAGTACAGTGAAGGCATAAACCATAGAAGACTAGGGTGAATCTGAGGCAGGAATTGGAATCTAAGGACATAAAAATTAACAACAATTTTTCAGACCTTTTATTTTTCATTCTATTGAAACCACATTATACCTCACATTCTCTTCCTGCATTAATAGCCATTATACACTTCTTACAAACCAAAGCTGTAAGCCTATGTCAAAGAGATAAGGGGAAAGTATTACACATTGCATTTTCAAATGCAGGATGGCACTAGCATCTTGCCCAGAAAGGCAAGGAAGAAAAGGTGTTATTCTACCTTCTTTTGAATCATCCCTTGGGAGAGAAAAATACAGCCTTTGAGCTGCCAGCAACACAAGTATCCCCATCCATGCAGTCTAGGGAGGAGAATATGTCCTCTACAACCGCACGTGGGACAAAGATGCCAAAGTATAATAGGAACACTGATTGTAGAGGTATTAATTTTATTTAAGGTGAAAATTAGGCCTTTTGAACTTCCCTGATAATCTGTAAAATATATAATCAGTTTGTCAGGTTTTATTTTTAAGTGGAGGGATTCTTTGTGTAAGTAGGATTATTGAGAACCACAATGAATGTAAATGTTTATTTACCTGAAATATAAGTTTATACTCTTTGAAAAGATCTATATTTAGAAGGTCATTTTTAAGATGAGATGGAAAAATTAAGACATCATAGCAATGCTGGTCCACAGCAAAGACTTTATCACCAATATGTGGTACAGATTTGACTTTATGATAGCCTTTTTTCTTCAAACTATGATAAACTTCTTCAGGGCTGTAAATATACAACATTAGGTTGTAATTACAAATATAATACATTAAAAATGTATTAACATTAGCATCTTTTTCCTACAATAAGTAAAAATACCACTGCATGTATTGCATCTAATGGAACTTAAATTGTAGCCAACAATAAGTTAAAAGATCATTAGAGACAGAAAAGTTAACATATTTATGTAATTACCTTTGGTAATTTGGTGATAAGATCCTGAACCAAACTATGATTCCCCAATCACTCTCCCAGATGTGCCCCCCTCCATTAAAAAGGTAATATTTCTTACCATATTATTTTGAAAGGCTAGTGACTTGAAATATGAATAAAGAATTTGATTAAAACTCTTACCTGATTTTACAAGTATTTATCCAAGCATAAAGTGGCAAAGTGGAGGCCCTTAGTTCCTGGTTCCTAACTGTTTCTGGAAGAATGTGGTAAATTGAAAGGGCATCATGTTTGATTCGATATCTTGCCAATGCTGCAGCCAATTTTGTCTTAAAACTAGAGATAGAAAATCCATTCTTAGTGACTACTGCATTAAAGACAAGACTATCAATTTTCCACTGGAAACATTAACAAAGCAACTTTAAAATTTTAACAAGTCTTCTATAATTCTATTTCAAATTTTCTAAGTCTAAAATAACAATTTGCCATATGTGAAAACAGAAATCCAATAATCCTGCTTCCTTTTTCCAGTTTTTGCTGCCCCTGTATAGTTGTGCATCTCCTCAGGTATTTACATTAATCGCTGATTGAGAGACAATTTTATGTAGTGGAAGAGGTGTAGGATTTAGAGCCGAAACTTGAAATTCAATCCAGGTTCTGTCAGTAACCAGCTATGTGACCTCAGGTATGTTACTGAATCTCTTTTCTCAGCCTCTGTTTTCTCCTCTGTAAAATGTGGTTGACTTTCCTTGCTATTAATGTGATGATTACCAATTGCGTGTGAAATACTTAGCACAGTGCCTGGCACATGGCAGGCACTCATTACAGGCTAGTTATCATTACTTAATAAGATTAAGGAACTTTCATGAATCTGTATCCAGTCCTTCCCAGTTCTGATTATCCCATGCCTCAAAGTTCCAAATAACAGAAAAGAAAAACAAGAACTGGTTAGCGTCACCATGAGGACCCAAGGATTTTCCTTGATCTCATGGCCAACGTTTTTAATGAATGAGAATACAGGACTTACTCTTGACCCATGTTCATAACGTTTCCACAGGAGGAATCTAACTGAATAATAAATCTCAAGGATAACCTTGAATGAGAAATGGGGAAGAGATGCCACAAAAAAGGGCAAGCACAACCTGAGTGGTGTGTGTGGCTGCAGAAAGTTTAAGAAGATTAAGCTTCTTATCCACTCAGTAGAATGAGAAACTTTCACCCAAGAACGTGTTTATGTATGGATGTGTATACATGCACGAGGGGGAGAGAGAAATAGAAAGAGAGAGAGAGAACACAGGGGCATGGGAGAGGAGAGGGAAGGGTTATCAAACATTAAACCTTCTAGGGCTATGATAAACTCAGATATGTGCAGTGCTATGTTCTAATGTCACAGAACTACAGGAAGGAACACTAAGAACAATTACATAATATATTAATGCACATCAAAGAATAAATTGATATAAAGGGGGTGAGTTACTGTTCTATATTATACACTGTGAGCTGTTTCTGAATACAGACTATTTTGTTTAAAACGTCCTTCCAAATATCTATGTAGTTCAAATTTACCATAATAAATGTTATTGAATGAATCATTCAATCATTAAATATAGAGATTAGAGCTGGGAAGCCTAGAAAAATAAACGTGTTGTGTACATAGAAAGAGCACAGCGAGAAATAATTTTCCAAATTTCTAGATAGCAAACATTTCAGACTGTGAATTTTAATACAATTTAATCAACCACAAAGTAATTTAAAGTATATATACAGTTATAAAGATTTTTATATAAATATGCAATATCAGACTGAAGACAAAAACCAAATCCAAATGCTATTAGGATAACCAGACATATTACTTCTGTAAATGAAATATCCTGTGGTTACTAAAAAAACTTCTTCCGTAGCTGTAAGGCAAGCTGCAATGATGAAAACGGAAGCAGAAGTAGCCTTATCCCAACATTCTTGATTCAGAAGTCCATCTCCTGCTACAATTTGAATGTTATCACAGAGTTACCCAATTATCTCTTTTACCAGCATCCCTGTTGTACGTACAACCAGAACTTTCTTTCTATATGTTAAATTGTAGTTATGTAATTCATAAGCTTAAGTTTTAAATGAGCCCATTACCTACAGGACAGACTCTAAATTCCTTATCATAATACACTAGGATATTAAAAATTTAACCTGAACCAACTCTCCCTTCCTCAATTCCCACCACTCCCATCCACAACACTATCGCTAGTTACATACTGAACGATTTGCCACTCCTATAACATGCCACATGCCCTCGCCCTCTCCCTCTCGCCCCTTCTGCAGTATGGTTTGGACTCTGCAAACAGATTACCTAGGTTCAAATTCTGGTTCCACCAACTACTAGCAATACGACTTCAGACAAGTTATTTAGTTTCTCTAAGCTCTAGGAATTAAGAATAAGTACCTTACTTACAGAGTTGTTGAAAAGAAAAGATACTTTTGAATTAAATACTTTTGTATTTAAAGTCAGGCTATTCAAGAAATGATAATAATATGTTTATTCCTTTACTACTATTAACCAAGTACTGTGATCAGAGCTGGACTATAAAGATTAATATGATGAATGTTATAAGATACACAGATAAAGGAGAAAGCAAATGTACTGGGAGAAGAACAAGAGTTAGCCCAAAGGAAATTCTACGAGGAGGAGAAACTGGAGCTAACTACTAAAGGAGGAGCAAGAATTTCCCAGACCACAAGAGGAGAGAAGACACACAGATAGCCTGAGTTTTCCAAACCAAAAAGGGAGAAAAGACACACAGACAGAGGGCAGAGCACCATAAAGATATGGAGGCGTTGGGGCTGGCCCCGTGGCCGAGTGGTTAAGTTCGCGCGCTCCGCTGCAGGCGGCCCAGTGTTTTGTTAGTTCGAATCCTGGGCGCGGACATGGCACTGCTCAGCAGACCACGCTGAGGCAGCGTCCCACATGCCACAACTAGAAGAACCCACAACGAAGAATACACAACTATGTACCGGGGGGCTTTGGGGATAAAAAGGAAAAAATAAAATCTTTTAAAAAAAAAAAAAAAAGATATGGAGGTGTTAAACAACAAAGATTTACAGAGCATGGGGTAGTGAGAGATCCAGGGCTCAAATCACAAAAAATCTTACACACCATGCATAGGAAGTAGGAATTTTTTTCTGCAGGAAATGGAAAGGCATTTAAGGATAGAGACATAAAGTTAATTCATGAACAAATATTTGCATTCTTACGATATTCCAGGCACTGTTTTAGGTTCCAGAAACAAAGGAGTGAGCAAGGAAGATGCCATTCCTGACATCACCAAGTATAGAGTCTGGTAGGGAGAGACAAAGCAATTATTTTAAAAGGTCCCAAGTACTAATGCCAAGGGAAGGCAGGCTGCTATGGTGGCACAAAGGAGAGGCACTGCTACGGGAGTCAAGGGAAGTTTCCCAGGAGCTAGGTTTAAACTAAGCCATCGGGGAGAAGTAGGAGTTAGCCAGGAGTAAGGGAGGGGTGTGAGAAGAGCTGACCAGTGTTCCAAGTAGAGGGAGCATCACATATGAGTTATCTGCCAATTCTGAAATATGTGTCTGAGAAATTGAGTGATATGCAGAGCTTCAATGACTCATGGGGCAGGGAACAAAAATGGAAATGCGGGGCATGCCAAGTTTATGGAAGAGGGGCTCTGATAAAGTCCCAGGCTTTAGAATGGGTCACCAAATGACAAGCCCAGGAAAACGTAAAAAGGAATAACTGGTCTTCACAGGGACTGAAGCCCTGTGAACTTCTAATTATTGCGATCTCTGATTAGAATTGGTCACCTGGGCTTGTTAGTGTCCCAAGTCTGGCTGCCAGTAGCAAAGTATATGCTCTCTCTAAAGGAAGATAACATCGTAGGGCTCAAACGAGATAAACTAATATTACATGTAAAATCAAATTATACCTAATATAGTGTATCCCAAGAAACTTTATATCCATAAATCATAGCAAAAAAAAAAGCTATCCTAATGTTTCCATTTATAGTAGAAACCCACTGGTTTGTATTGTAAGCACCCCTTCCCTTCTGGGAATAGAACCTCTCCGCTTCTGAAAATGTTCCTTCCCGCCCTCCATTCACATAATGTTCTTGGGAAGTATCTCTGACTGACTCTATCTCCTTGGCCACAGCTGATTGGTAGGGGGTGGGCACTTGACTCAAACCAAGGTCAAGCAATTTTTCGGGTGTAGCAACAAAGAGGAAAGCCAGACTCTCTAGTGCTTGGTGCTATAAAACGTAAAGCTCCTGAGTTGTCAGCCGCCAAGTTTTCCATTCTGGGAACAAAGAAAGATGAAAGAATGAAGCCAAAGCACACAGAGAAGCAGACACTAGAGTTGAAGAGAGTCCTGATGATATTTTAGTCAAAAGACTTAGTTACTAGAAGCGCAGCCACAGCACTGCCCTTCCTGCAGTCTCAGTGTTCAATTCTGCCACGAGAGGCCTGGTCAGAAATGCTCCCTGTTCACCTCTCCAGTTTGAGGTGGGGTCCTGCCAGCTGCCAAAAAGAATCCTAACTGATATACCATTTTCTTTTCATTAATTTCTTAAAGAAATGGGTTTTACTCCTTTTTGGCTTCAAAATTTTCAGAAATTTTATTTAACAATGAACAAAATAACTCAAGTTTCTGAATGCCATTACTAATGCCTAACACATCAGAAATGTGATTCTCTTTAAATATAAATTGAATATTTTCTTAATGACAAAAGATAATCTTCAGTGAACTGCTTGAATGTCTCATAAAAATATAAAGTCAGGCATTGTCCTGACAGCTGTTTCAGACTATTCACTAAGTAAGTGAAATAGGTTAATAAGCATTTCCAAAGAAGGGGTGGAGAGAGTATGAGAGAGAAAATCTCATGAACAAGTATTTAGGGAGCATTTTGGCAAATGAGAAACTCTGAAGCATTATGGGGAATGAGAAATTTGGAGAAGATGAGAAAAAGGATATATCAGAGCAAATGTTATTTACCACAGAAATACATGGTTGGCTTAACGTTTATAAATCATTCAATGTAAATTACCTTACCGTATTAATAGAATAAAGAAGAAAAAACAAATGATCATTTCAGCCTCCCAAAACTCTGATCTCTGTTTTCTTAACTTAGCAAGACAACCGTTTTCCTCTTGGCATTCCCCTTCCTGCACTGCAGCTGGAAAGTACCTCTAGGCATGAAGCCAGGACTACTCTAGGGCTCACCTCACTTGTTTTTATTCTCTCAGGGATCAAGTTTCTGTGCTGCTTCTTGTCTAATGTCCAAAACCTTTGCCTCATATATTTTGTCCAGTTTTCTCATTATTTACAATAGGAAGACAAGTCTGATCCAAGATACTCTCTCATGACTATATAATTACATTTTTAAAATATCACACTACCTACCATGTGGAATGGATTGTGGGAAAGTAAGAATTATAGGAAAGGAAACCAATGAGGAGGCTATTGCCTCCCATTGACAAGTGACAAGTCCAAGTGACGATTATGGTGGCTTGGATTTGGATGGTAGTAATGGATGGAAAGAAGTAGATTTAGCATGTTTTCCAACTGGAGTTACAGGACTCGATGCATTAGGTGTGGTATGGGTGCAGGGGAGGGGAAGAAAAAAGAATCAAGGATGCTATCAAGGTAGACAGTGGGGCCTCAGCCGTAATGTGGAGACTTCAGGACGAATACCTTGGGGTGGGGTAGGAGTATCGACTACAAAGTCCTTCCCCTCCTGCTGCCTTTCTAGTCTTTCTGTGCCCATTCTCCAATTCTGCCTCACAAAAGTCCAACAAATTATTTGGCAGAAACATTCTTGGGTTAGTGTGAGGGCATGAGGAGTAAGAAAGGAAGAGGCTGTGGCCTTTTTTTTTTTTAATCTAGTCACATAGTATTAAAAAGTTGCATTTTATACAAGGAATGAGTTCTTTTTTTTTTTTTTTTGAGGAAGATTAGCCCTGAGCTAACATCCGTGCCCATCTTCCTCTACTTTATATGTGGGATACCTGCCACAGCATGGGTTGATAAGCAGTGCATAGGTCCTGGCCTGGGAACCGAACTGGTGAACCCCAGGCCCCAGAAGTGGAGTGCACAAACTTAACCACTGCGCCACCAGGCCAGCCCCAAGGAATGACTTCTTAAAAACCTTGCATATGTCAAAAATGGTAAGAGGTGTCATCTTGGACTATACCTCTAAAGCCATGAATAAATGAAGAAAAAGATACAAATTGGTACATAAAGTGATAAAACACCAGGATCCCTGGTACAGGCAACAGCAACAAAGGTCAAACACAATTTTCCTAAGGAGAAAATCATTCTCATTCAATTTCTTGCTAAATAATTACTTCTTCCTCTATCACCTCTTAAAATTAGTCTTTATGCCCTCAGTAGAAACATACTATGGTATACTTCAAGTTTACAATGATTTTACTTCCCTGGGAACAACAGCGCCCAGCTCCAAGCCCCAGAAGATCTACAGAGGTTGGCTTCCAGCATCCTGTTTGAGTTCACAATCCCACACCATTGGCTATGGGAAGCGGCCAGAGGGAATGCATCTGATCCACATGGAACCAATCAAATTTCCAGGGATTTAGAATTCAGAATTGGGTTGTAGAGATACGAAGTTAGTCTAAGTGAAGAAACTAACATACAACTGTAACATGTAAGCTCAGAAACTGGGGTGCAATGGTAGGGCCTTTCCTACGTAGACCAGAGAAGCAGAGAAGGCAGATCTTCAGAGAAAAAGAGAATGAAGCAGATACTAAGAGAGAAGCAGAGATAAAGTCCTGACATCTTTCCAGTTCCTGATTTCATTTTCTTCCTGAGTCCTTGAGTTGCATGAGATATCCCGGTATCTTTGTAAGAATATTTTTCAATTTTGCTCAAGTTAACTGATGATGGCTTCTACTACTTGAAAACTCTTGATTAAAACTCTCGATTAAAACTCTCTGGCATTAGCTTTATACATATATTTTCTCAGCACGGCTCTACTATTCTCTGTTCAGTCACTAAATACAAGCATTTCTCCTCTAGCATATTATGAATTGAGTATAGTATGAACTGGGTATAATAAAACTGATTTAGGAATAAGATTTACATTATATGAAGATCTATCGGTTTGTAACCAGATATGTGTCAAGGCAGAAGGTAGCATGGTACGTAATATGGGGAAAGGGGAAAATCTGGGGAATCAGGAATCCTTTGACAGTAATATTTCCTGGTTCCTCTGGCCTCCTGAGCCACAGCCTTTGCTTGTCCTATTCCCACCTGCCTTGCTGGCACTCTCAGCTAAAATCTGCTGCTGCTGAAACCACAGTCTGGTCTTTCTGACTTGGTTAGAGCCCTGTGGCTTTCCTGGCTGACTCAGTCTAACCTCAGCTCTCATTAGCCTCATGAGACTAAGCTGAGACTTCCATGGAAGTCTCCTGACTAAGTCAAACAAAAACTGAGAGAAGCTCAGAAAAGCTGAAACTCAGAGCCTATCCCACAGCATACTGCCCCACCAATTTTTCTCTGATGTATCTGCACCCGTCCTGGGAGGCAGGTCGTCCGATGTAGGTATGCACAGTGAGGTGGTTGCTCAGAAACCTACACAGTAAACAGAGGCGAGATCTTTACTTTTCTAACAGAGATAGGACACAGGTCTGATTGCTCTTGCTCTTCTCCATCCCACAATTTCTCATGGCTGTGACTGACATGAGATATGACTATGTCATATTTTTAATCTTCCGGAGTACTTCAACCAACCCTCGCTATCCTAGGCGGGAGGAGCGGTGGCATATACATGGTTAAAGCCTGGGCTCTGCAGTCAGACTTCCTGAGTTTGAAATCTAGCTACTCCCCTTTCTAGCTCTTTGGCATTCTCCCTTTACCCTGTCTGTGCCTCAGTTTTCCCATGTGTGAAAATACAGGTTGGCAACAGTAGCCACCTCACAGGGTTGTTGTAGCTTCTTATAACAATGACTGATGCACATTAACTGCTCAGTAAATGTAAGATATTATTATTACTCCATCACCTGAGCCCTCTGGTCTCAGCCTTCAATAATTTAAACGAAACTCATTGAATTTGCAATAAAAAATAAAAATATTTCATAAAAATATAAAATCAGATGTATTGACAACTGTTTCAGACTGTTCATTAGGCGAAAATCTTCCTACAAGATTGTTGTTGTCGTTGTTATATTGTACTTTCTATTAAAGTTCAACAACATAATAACAAAAGCCCTAACAACAGTAGCACTTAACATTTATTGACCATTTACTATGTGTCCGGCTCTAAACTAAGCATTTTATATGCATTAGTTTAATCAGTTCTCCCAAACACCCTTCGAGGGAGGTACTACTATTATTCCTGTAGTAGGTTTCTGCTGATATTTAGGGCAAAAAGAAAACAAACTTGGAACACATTTGTTCTCAACTATGGAGAAGTTTTTTTTAATTTGGCAAAGAAGTGAGTTCTTGTCTATTGTTGGAATTTTCTCATTTAATACATGTCAAATTTTTTTAAGAGCTGTAAACAAAGCTAAGTAAATAAATAATAGCTGTTTCAAATGAAATTTAATTTATGTATGTGCTGAAAATTACTAAGAATTTTTCATGATTTTCTACATGCTTACAAGTTGAATCTTACAACTCAAGTTTTCAAAAACAACTTGATTTTAAATAGTATGTTTAACTTGTTCAAGATTGCAAAGGAACTCAAGAAACTTATGAACTTTTATATTTTTTCTCTGTAAATTAAAACTTATTTACACATTATATTGTATACAATTTAACCAATGAAAATACGAACAATGATTTTATATAAAACATCCTTTTTGCTTTTACAATTACCTGATAAGAAGGTTCTCTACTTCTTGAACTTCCGCTATGGATTCTTCATTATCAGAAAGGAGACGAGCTTGAAATTTTCTGTCTTGGAAATCATACAGCATCACAATAATAAGGCTGCTCAAATGATCTGGCTACCAAGGGGAAACACACGAAGAAAAGTATACTAACAACATCTAATAGCACTATTTTCCATTCCATCATTTTTCATAAGAGAGCAGGAATATGAGCATTTTTACATACTCTGGTTGGATTCAGAGATAGAAAAGGTCTTCAAAATAGAAAAAAATCCTTTCAAAATAAACCTTTCAAAAGACAATTTTTGATATGTTCCTCAAAACGAAAGGACAAGGGTCAGTATTAGAAGCATTAGAAGTAAGAAAGAGTTAAGGATGTATTTCGAAGACGTCTCAGCACTAAGCAAACTAGCTGTGTGCAGCAAACTAGTGTGAAGGCTTTTTAATACTTTCTAAATAATTATGAGATAGCTAATTATATAAAAGTTGCCTACTTACTATTGTGGTACTTGGAAAAATATAGCTATCTATTAATATAGTTTCCAAAATATCTTGATCTGCAAGACAAGGAAAAGGTCTGTTATTAAAAATATCAAAGCTGAAAATAAAAACTTTGGAATAAAATACACTCTAGACAATGCCATAAAATACTTTTAATTTCATATCTAAAATATACCTCAATTCTTGATAAAGATTTCAATTACAATGACATGATAAAATATTTGTAATCTTCATGAATTCTAGACCCTTATGACCCAGGCTCCACATGGATCATAATCAAAGGAGAAATATCTGAATAGTCAAAGTAATAAACAAATTCCAACCTTTAAGTTATGTCCTTTGAAAAACATTAAAGAGGATCTAATTTACAATGTCTTATCCTTTTTATGTATTGCTGGATTTGATTTTCCAATATTTTATTTAGGATTTTTGTTCTATGCTTATGTTCATGAGGGATGTTGGTCTGTAATTTTCTTCTCTTGTAATGTCCTTGTCCATGTTGGTATCAGGGTTATGCTGGCCTTATAAAATGAGTAGGAAGTGTTCCCTCTTTCTCTATTATCTCGAAGAGTTTGTGTTAGATTGGTATTATTTCTTACTTAAATATTTGGTAGAACTCACTAGTGAAGACATTAGTAAGATGACATTTAATCTAAGACCCAAATGACAAGGAATTAACCATGTAAAGATTTGGGAGGAAAGAGCATTCCAGGCAGAGGGATAAGAAAAAGTACTAAGTGGAGGGGCTGGCCTGGTGGCGTAGTGGTTAAGTTTGGTGACTCCGCTTCAGCAGCCCAGGTCTGTGGGTTTGGATCCCGGGCGTGGACCTACACCACTCATCAAGCTACGCTGTGGCAGTGTCCCACATACAAAATAGAGGAAGATGGGCCAATCTTCCTCAGCAAAAAGAGGAACATTGGCAACAGGTGTTAGCTCAGGGCCAATCTTCCTCTCCAAAAAAGAAAAAAAAAGTACTAAGTGGAAACAAGTAGATGTATTTTAAAACCTCCACAGAACGCGAGTATTCCTTTTGTTATCGCTACTTAAACTATATGTACATCATATAACAAATGCTTTAATCAGTAGAAAAGAAAATTGGTCTAGCTTCAATTCATTCAACATTTATGAAAAACCTACTATATGAACAGCACACATGGAATTTCAGTTTTTATTTGGGGGATGGGCAAAGTAAAAATAAGTGACTAACTTGGGAAGCACAGACTCCAATTTTCATAGGAAATCCTTTGGGAATCTTTCCATATTTTGGCCACCAATCACAGCTGTACGGTACAAGGCAATATCCCCACTTCACTTACAAGGAAAATGAAGTTTAGGGTTTCACACCCTTAGCACCTGCAAACCAATTCCTATCTACTTCATAGTAGAGCATGAGTCCCTATATACTTCATACTTCTCAGCATGAGTCCCAGTTTTTGTCACGGAAAATATAGTCCTCATAAGAATGAAGAACTTCTGGGGCTGGCCCGGTGGCTGAGTGGTTAAGTTCGCGCGCTCCGCTTCAGGGGCCCAGGGTTTTGCTGGTTCGAATCCTGGGCGTGGTCATGGCACCACTCATCAGGCCATGCTGAGGCGGCGTCCCACATGCCACAACTAGAAGGACCCACAGCTAAAAAAACATACAACTATGTACAGGGGGCTTTGGGGAGAAAAAGGAAAAATAAAATCTTTAAAAAAAAAAAAAGAATGAAGGACTTTTAAGACAGCAGACATGCATAGGCTATAGAACTTTGAGCAATGGAAGTGCTGGACTCCTAAGAAACAGGAGAGGCAGAATGAAGGGAAAGAAGACAGAATATGATTTTGCCAACATTGCATTTTTTTCTAGGGCTCTTTTCAAAACCGCTATCATCTCTGGGCTGCCTTTGATACTGTGCAGAATGCACTGCCTTTGTATTTCTACAATTCACCTAACATTCTCACACAGTAATATCAACACTAATAATGTATACAGTCATGTGTCACTTAACGACAGGGATATGTTCTGAGAAATGGGTTGTTAGCCAATTTCCTCATTGTGTGAACATCATAGAGTGTACTTACACAAACCGAGGTGGTATAGCCTACTACACACCTAGGCTATATGGTACTAATCTTATGGGACCACCATCACATATGTAGTCCATTGTTGACCGAAATGTCATTATGCAGCACATGACTATACTTTAGACAGTGCTTTCCATGAGCTAGACATTGTTCTAAGTGCTTTCCATATATTAATTCACTTAACCCTCATGACAACCCTATGAATTAGGTACCATCATTATCCCCATTTTATAGATTAGGAAATGAGGCACAGAATGGTTAAACAATATGTTCATAGCCACACTGCAAGTAGTAGATGAGGGATTCAAACCCTGGCAGTCTGAAGCCCGAGTGCCTGCTCTTCATCACATTATGCTGCCTTTCCTCAGCTTACTCTTACAACAAACCAGAGTGGCTAAATAACACACACTGTTAATGCCCAATTTGGGTTACTGCAAACCTTGCCTATCCTAGTTGAGGATAATAGCCCCAATTATCTCTAGTCCCCCACTAATTAAAGCCTCTTCCCTTTAGTCTGTGAAGGGAATTCTTACTCTCCATTCCTCACGTTTCCAGTGGGGAGGGCCTTCCCTAGAGAAACATTCCTGGACTTTCCCTACCCCTTAATCACCACTCCCCAAGAAAGGAAAATTGAGTTTGATTGGTGAAGCTGGAAGAAGGAACTGGGGCCTATCTCCCTTCCTCCCCTGCCCTCTCTCCCTCTCTCTCTGCCAGCATTTCTGCAGGAGGCATGCATGTATTCCAGGAGGTCTTTCACCATGTGCCTTGTGTGAGCTGGGGTGGAGGGGTCTGCAACTCTTCAGCTGTGCCACGGGTTAGATGGGAAGTTCTAATTCAGGAGCAAAGTGTTTGCAAGCCTATTTGACTGGAGATCTAAAGCCATGTCTCCAAGCATTTTTTTTCTCGCTCTCAACTGGTCCCAAACTCAAGTGTAAAGGAGGAGTGCTATATATTGGACTCCTAAAACTTACACAGTCCATCTGGTCATCCCTCCCATTCTGGAAGAAAGACGGAAGATGTTTCTTCTTTTGACTGTCCCCTGTGTTCTCCCCCTCTATTTTTATTATGAATTCATAGAGTTTCCTTCATATGAGTCACTTCTAGAAACTTCACATCAAGAATGTCAAGGCCCTCCTATAATTATAAATATAGGTATATAGGGCTTTTCAATGTGTGGAAGGAGGGAAAGTTGACAAAATTATTAAAGCCTCTTTGGCAAAACTAGTAAGAATAGCCACATTTTTGAAAGGATATTTGAGAGAAGTAGATACCGGGGGAAAAAAGCTGGCATCATGAAATACAAAGTCATTGTTAAAATGAAACAATGTGAAATGATAAAAAACTAGAATTAGGGATGAGGGTTACTATTCTACCACCCTTTCAACTAGATGAAACCCTTCTTTTTATCCTTCTTCCTGCTTGGTTCCCTAGGTATATCATTTAACCTCTTCTTGAGTTTCTCTCAACTTTTTCATCTGCAAATGAGAATCTTCCATTTCAAAAAACTGGTATATCAAAATATATAATTAGGGCCAGACCTGTGGCCAGTGGTTAAGTTTGTGCACTCCGCTGCGGTGGCCCAGGGTTTCGCTAGTTCGGATCCTGGGCGTGGACATGGCACTGCTCATCAAGCCACGTTGAGGCAGCATCCCACATAGCACAACTAGAAGGACGTACAACTAGAATATACAACTAGGTACTGGGAGGCTTTGGGAGAAAAAGGAAAAATAAAATCTTTAAGGGAAAAAAATACATATATAATTATTTTGTGAATTACAAAGAGCTATGTAGATATAAGGTATTATTATTGTCATTCAAGAGAACTGCTTTAACCTCTTAGGTGACAACCAGAGCTTAAGAGGTTGTTGCTCTAGATCATTTTCCTAATGACTCACTGTGCAATCCAGAATTAACTCAGCAGGCCTGGGTGGCCAAGCCCTGCACATTCCAAAGAAAGGTTCAACCCTTGAAGAGCTCCTGGACAATAACCTCTAAGCCCTCAGAGCACCTTGTTGATCGAACTGTCTTTATCTACCTGGGGCCTTGGGCCACGTGGTATAAGCTTGACCTCTGGAAAAGCTAGAGATTGAGGAAGGTCAGTCATGAGGTCACTCCTTGTCTACATGACTGACCCTGCAACAAAAATCCCAGATAACAAGGCTTGGGTGAGGTTCCCTGGTTGGCAATACTTCATTTGTGTTGTCATACAGCATTGCTGGGAGAATCAAGCACTGTCCATAAGACTTCACTAAGAAAGGACAATAGGAAGCTCATACCTGGTCCCTCCTGGACTCTGTCCTACGTACCTTTTTCTGGTGCAGATTTTAATCTCCATCCTTTCACTGTGATAAACTGCAACTATGAGGATAACAGCTTTGTTGAGTTCTATGAGTCCTTCCAGTGAATCAGTGAACCTGAGGGTGGCCTTGGGAACCCCTGATGACAGTTACTAATTCCCAAAGCCATAACTAAACCATACATTAAGCACTTACATGGTTTTTTACTGACAGTTACATGATTATGAAAGGATCAGGTTAATGCCACAGCCAGTTCCTGGTTCTGAAAATACACCGATTACTATACACCTAGAGAGGCAGGAGAAAGAACTAAGCCAGGAATAAGAGCAACAATTTCGGGAACATCTCTTTCCTCTGGTTTTTTTTTTCCTTTATTTATTGTTCATTAATTTATTTTTTAAGAAATCACTTTTCCAGTCTTTTCTTCTGTTTTAATATTTAGAATGCCTTGAAATATCCAGAGATTCCCTGAAAAAATAAACTAGCTGCTAGCACACTACTTCTGTGACAGAAGCCAAACTTAATTAGACTGCTCTTCATTACCTTCGTTAGCAGAAAATCGACCTTGGGGTTATTTAGTAAAGCAGGACTAGCGGTTGTCTTGATTTAAAAAAACATTATACTGAGTCCTTTAAATCTTTAAAAGGTTAATCAGACAAACAGGACACTCGGCTTTGAAAGAGCTCATACACAAAGGACATCAACAAAGGAGCCAACAATAAAATTGAACAACGGAAGACACAACCAAAAAAATATACTTAACATTTGTATAATTAAGAGATTTTCCTTGTCATTTTTTTCCTTGTACTTCCTTTAAAAAAATATGGTAATATGATCCGATTACCTAATTCACAAGTTTACCCATAAAACGGACCATTACCCAAGCTTTCTTTAGTTTGTACACTAACCTTTTCAGCTTTACTGCTCCTATAAAACTTCAGGGAAGAAATTCTGAGTTTTCTTTTCTGAACCTATACTGTTAAGCCAGACATGAGTTTATAAAATATTACATGTGGAGATATTGATAGAACACTAATAGAAGATAAAAATGAAATGCACGAGAGCCTCCAATATTTTAAAGCAAAATATTAATAGATATCATCATAAGAAGAAAATAATACTTGTGCCAAGTAAACAACCAAAACCATCTTAGTTTAGAATTTGAACTTATAAAATGAACATTTTAAGGAAAAGCAGGTTTCTAAAGGCCTATGACAATAATTTATCTGAATGGGGTTTTCTGGGTCATTAAAAACATCAAAGACCGTTTCATAAAACAGAAATAAGGATTGAGAGAAAGAACAAGATAATACACCAGACATATCACTAGAGCATGGCCATCTAGTTAGCGCATTAATTTTACAAAAAATAATTTCAGGCTTTTATTATTGATTTCTAAACATAAGAGTCAATATTCTACTAGGAAAAAAATCATCTATGATAGAGTTTTGACATTAACATTAAATACCAACTAATCAGCATAGATGCCCGGGCTGCATTTCATTGTTGCATGGAGAAAATGTTAAAATGTCATCTGACTCATTATTTAAAGTGCAATATTTTGGTTCGTCTTTAAAAGTACATTTTAATAAGGGGGTGAAGAGAAGGGATGAAACAGAATCTGAAAGATTAAATGGGAGGAGGAAAAATCGTTAAGACACATTTAAAAAGAAACAAAAATCACAAACAGAAAAGAAACACGAAAACTAAAGAGAAGCTGCTTCTTAACATCAGATTTTTCTCTGTGATGAAAAACACCTGGCTTCAAAGTTGAACTGTCATCTCTACAGTCAACCAAAAATATATATTCCTGTCTAGATAATTAATAAGACACTTTAATTCAATTGAGCAATTTTTAACTGCCTATGAGCAAGGATGTGCAAGGCCCGGTAAGAACTAATACTAAGGAAATACACGCAAATGAGTGCTGCCCTTTCAAAGGGTCTCTTTAGGAAGCCATATGCTCACATGTCAGCAATACTGCCAATACTCAAACATTTCTGGAACAATATTCAGTTTACAAACCAATATAAACTTTATAGTTGATATTATATGATAACATACTGTATTATCCTATAGTTTATAGCTAATGCAAAAATAAACATCTTCAGGCCCTTTGACTGCTCTCATAGCAACAATGTTTGGTTCTGTGCTACAGTCAACTCCACACTCTGAAGCTGATAATTCACCACTACTGAGGGAATGTGAAACATTGCATCTCAATCCCTGAAGGCAAATTAGAAAGAGGAATTCTACAAAAGTTTGGAGAAATAAATTTAAGAGCTTTCCCAATCAAATTAATTTTGGTATTCATTTCTAATATATTGTGCTTTTTTTTCTTATTCCATCTGTTCCTCTCTCCTGCTCCTTATTGGTTTTTCTACTTGTGAAAGTTCATACACTAAAATACAAGCTGTAAACGCAGAGAACAGAAAAAAGAAATACCCAAGGAGCGGAAACTATAATGGGATACTTCAATGGATTCTTGTTCTTCCCACTAATGGGATTCTTTCCTTGTTCAATTTATTTATTTACTTATTTGGTGAGGAAGAGTGTTGCTGAGCTAACACCTATGCCAATCTTCCTCTATTTTGTATATGGGACCCCGCCACAGCATGTCTTTACCAGCGATGTACAGGTTTGCGCTGGATCTGAACCCGGGAACCAAGAGCAGAGCAGGAACTTAACCACTATGCCAGGGGGCTGGCGCCCTTCCTTGTTCAAGCTAATGACTGTGCATTACATCTGAGGACATGGCACGAAGCTGGGCACCAGGAAATCTGCAGTCACAGTTATGGCCTGAAAGAGCCTGTTTTCCCGGAACTCTCCTAGTTCCTTGACATTTGCAACTCACCGAAGAGATGCATATGCGTAAAAAGAAAAGCTGGTGCGTATGAGGGGGCGGGGAGGGGCTCGGCACTCTACAAATTCTCTCGTTATCATTTTTTTTTAGTGCTGATCTTCCAGACTGGGGCTACTCACACTTCAGGGCACTGAAAGCCAGCTCATAGGACGAACGCTGAACGGATTCATCCTCACACTCGGACAAGGACTGCAGGGGTTCACTCCCATATTTTATTAAGACTTTCTCTGGTGACTTTTCGATTCGAATACCCTGAAAAATGTTCGCTGCCATGACGTAAACGGAGTCCGGATAGCCAGTTTTTTCGGGTAAACCAGCGGAATTGTTTTCGCCGGATGCTGCGTCGTGTGACAGTGCCAGGGAAGCGAGTTGGGAGATCTCGGTACTGTTTTCCTTCGAAAACTCCAGTTCACCTGTGGAGTTCAGCATGTCTGCCTCTTGACGGTCGTCGGTAACTCAAGCTTGAATTACAAGTCAGATGTTTTTCCTTAGACCTTAAGCATCGTCTCTGTGAAAAGAAAAGGGCATCTCGGTAAATCACTATTCCTGCAGGACCACACCTGGCGGCCCATTTCGTGGTGGCCTGAAAGACTCAGAGGTGGCATTTACCGGCCGATGCGAGCATCCCATACTTGGAGCCGAACAAGCCCCACGAAACCTCCCTACGCTCAGAAAGCGAGGGCGGTGGAGACGGCTAGGAATCGCCTCCGAAGCGACCAGAGATTTCCCCGATGGGGGGCAGCGCTCTCCCACGAGCCGCGTCTGCGGCCCACGGGCGCCCCTTTCACCGGCTCCCGCCAACCTCCCTTACCCCAGAGGGCCGATGTTGCCCGGGGCTTGGGGACCGAGACGCGGCCGCCGCTGCACTTCGGGCACCGCAGGCAGGTGTCGGAACCAGTGCCCCCAGGAGCCCCGGGACGGCGGGACGGCGGCCTGCGAAGGCCGTTTGGTTCAAAGGCAGCCTCTCCCACCAGCCGGATTCGGGGCAGGGGTCGCGACTTCCGGTGCTTGGTTCGCTCCGGCTCCCGGAAGGCGGGCGCGCCTCAGGACCTCGCCTGGCCACGCACAGTGGCCCTTCGCGGAAGCGGCTGCGGAGCCGGGTGGAGTGCGAAATGGTGGACCCGCGGGCTCACGTCGCGGAAGGGTAGGCCTTCCCCGCCTTTCGCAGGCCTCGGGCCGCGGACCCGGGTTTCCATGGCAGCCGCGGGGGGGGCGGGTGGGGGCGCGAACTCCGCCCGAGAGACGTTCCCGCGGGATTTGGCGGGTGCCGCCTCTTGCTCGGCGAGTTACTCCTCCTGCTGCATCCCGGGACACCCGTGCCAGCCCCTCCTCCAGGTCGAAGGCTGGTGGTGCAGCTCGACCGCGCCGTCCTCAGGGTCCTCGACTTCTCCAGAATCACGTGTCTCCTCTTTCCCGCGTACCCTTGAAAGCAAGGATACTGCCAACACCCAGCTTAGCGAGTTTAGCAGGGGCGCAGGAAATGTCGAAACAGGTAAGTGTAAAACTACTGAAGAAAAGGAAAAAAGACCATCCGTGCCTTTTAGAACAATAGACATCATCTTAGACGGACTATTCCAGGGCAAGTTGTGTAAAGATCTTTGTCCAGTTAAGAGCGCATCCCTCTTTCCAGGAGTTGCCTGCAAAGAAAGATGTTGCTGAAATGAACCTGCAAAGGATCAAATTGGCCCCGCCTTCCAAATTATAGAATGGAACTGGGAACCCCAAAGGGCTTTAATATGGCTACTTTCGTTTTTGAGAGCCCTAGAATGAAATCTGCATCATAATGCATCTAAGAAAAATCTGTGCCGATTTTTAAATGTGGTAGAAAAATACTTTATTAATTTTTAGAATAGGGGCCAGCCCGGTGGCCAAGTGGTTAAGTTCGTGCCCTCTGCTTCTGCGGCCAGGGTTTCGCCAGTCTGATCTTAGGCACTGACATGGCTCCAGTAATCAGGCCATGCTGAGGCGGATTCCCATATAGCACAAACAGAAGCACCTAGAACTAGAATATACAACTGTGTACTGGGGGGCTTTGGGGAGAAGGAGAAGAAAAAGAAAAAAGATTGGGGGGCCGGCCTGTTGGTGCAGTGATTAAGTGGGCACGTTCTGCTTCTGTGGCCCTGGGATCGCTGGTTGGGATCCTGTGCCGACATGGCACCACTTGCAAGCCATGCTGTGGTGGGTGTCCCACATATAAAGTAGTGGAAGATGGGTATGGATGTTAGCTCAGGGCCAGACTTTCTCAGCAAAAAGAGGAGGATTGGCAGCAGATGTTAGCTCAGGGCTAATCTTCCTCAAAAAAAAAAAAATAAAATAAAAAATAAAAATTAAGAAAAAGAAGATTGGCAACAGATGTTAGCTCAGGTGCCAATCTTTAAAAAAAAGATGGAATTGGTTGGAAGTAAAAATAAAAATCTGTTAGATACTTGGTCTCCGTTTTCTCCCTAAGGCAAAAGAAATCAAAGCCTGCAAATTGAGTGAAATTCTTAATTCTGGCAAAGTCATGTGAAAAGCTTGCAGGTCTAAGCCCTAGACTCAACAAAAAGCATGCTAAATATGCTGAAGGGTGAAATAACCCTAGAGACCCTGCTGGCTCCTGGTTGGGAATGTGAGAAATTTGTCCAACTTCTCTGTAGAAGTGGTCCAATCTGGAAAACAAACATATACATATATACTAGCATCAGTTATGGTCACTCGGAGATTCTACGTTGTGTTCTCTAGTCCTTCCCTTGGTGTGTTAAACAGGAAGAGATAGACCTTGGCGTGTGATAAACTTACATCTGTGTAACCTTAGGCAAGTCCATAACATCTCTTGGCTCACTTTGTGCATCTGTAAAGCGGAGACTAATGCCTCCCTTAGGAAATATTTGTGAGGATTTAATGAGATGGTGTGTGTCAAGAAGAGTGTCTGGAAAGTTGTAGGTGCTCCATAGTTGTTAGTTCCTCCTTTCCCCTTCTAGAAGTTTTATTTATAAAGCACCCTTTCAATATTTAAATCCTAGGAAGTGAGATTACAGAGAAAGCTAGTCTGCTGAACTGGCATCTGAAAGACTTTTACTAGAGTCCATGTTCTTGGCTTCGTTTATCAACACTTAGAGATACTTTTGAGATAGACTGGTAGAGTTGAGTGTTTTTCAACTTTGAAGCACCAGGAGTCTTTGTTAAAAATGCAAATTCTACAACAACGAACAATCACATAGAGACAGAGATTGGATTGGTGGTTACCAGAGGGGAAGTGGGGAGGGAGGAGGGCAAAGGGGGTGATGGGTTGTAATTAGTCTTGGGTAGTGAACAGGATGTAATCTACACAGGAATCGAAATATAATGATGTACTCCTGAAATATGAAATAATGTTATAAACCAATGTTACTGCAATTTAAAAAAAAAAAAGAGCAAATTCCTAGAACCCATCCCCAGATTCTGAGGACGTCTAGAATAGAACACAGGAATTTGCAGTTTTAGCAGGTGACCCAGGTGATTTTGATGCAGTCAGGCAAGGACCACTGTTTGAAAAACTTAGGTATAACTCAAAGACTACTGGTTCTAATTCCACCTCTGTCTCTGACTTGGAAAAGTCCTTCCGTCTCTCTGGATTTCTCTTCCCTCTCCTACAATACAGATTGATTACCCTGGCTTATTTTGCAGGTGAGTTGTGAGGTTTTAATCTTCTTTTAACTCTCCAGCACGCCTACCATGTGGTATCTTCTTGTTTACCGGGGGAAAATCCAAACATTCAGCAAGGCAGACAGGGTCCTCTCTGATCTGGTTGGTCCTTGCTGCCTTTTTACCTTCATTGCTGGGCATCCTAAAGCCATTGCCCAAACTTCTATATCTTTACGCATCCTGTTCTCTCAGTCTTGAAAGCCCTTCTCTTTTTGCGTACCTAGTGAAGATCTACTCGAACGTTAAAGCTCAGTGCAGGCATCACCTCTAAAAATCCTCCCTGACACTTGTATTAGTTGGAATGTAAATTTAGCCACCGTGATGGAGACCCAAGATAACCACTGGCTTCAGCCAAACATAAGTTTATTTCTCACTTGAAGTCCTGTTGGCATAGTGGCTGTCCTCCACAGAGTCGTCTGGAACCCAGACTCCTGTTTTAGGCTGCACGTGAGGGCTTTGCCCTTGTCAGCATAGTTCCAGATAGCTTACCACCATGTCCATTTCCAGCCAGTGGTTAGGCCAATACAGAGGAGAGGGAGGGCATGCACTTTCCTTTCAAGGACGTGCCTAAAAGGTGCACACATCACTTTTGCTGACCTTCTGTTGGCTGGAGCTTAGTCACATGGCGTGCCTAGCAGCAAAGGGGGTTGGTAAAGGTGTCCAGCTAGAAATCAAGGGAACTATTGCTATAGAAGAAGGAGAGAATGGATATTGGGGAACGATTAGCAGTCTCTGCTACGAATCTCTACCCCCTGACCTCTTCACCTGCCAATCCACTCACTTCTGCTATTTTCAATAAGTCTATGTTCCTGTAACATTTTGTGCATGCATACGTGCATTCATTCATTCATTTAACAAGTATATATTAAATTCTTACTGTGCACCTGGCACTATGCTCAGCCCTGGAAGTAAAAAATGAATGTACAGAAATGGTCAGGGACTTTACCCTCAAGAAATTAATAGATGGAGATACTCATGTTTTGGCACCCTTCAATTTTTACTATAAATATCTGTGCACATATCTGTATTCCCCCTCCTTCTGCCATCCTCCTACTCTCACAAGCCAAACAACACACACACCCTAAAACAGTTTTATTATATCTTTTTATTTTTGTAATATATCTTTTTATGCCCAGATACTAGCAAAATATCGCTCTTTCACATATGCACACATGCATAGAAGATTATAACTATGAAAGTGTCTTGCGGCTTATGGTACATTTTATTATGCATCACATAGTACACAGTACAATATGCTGAAAATGTGAGGTAAATCCTGGCTATAAACTTTAAAATACTGTTGCCTTTCAAGATATAATTTGAGGAGCTTCTTGTTTTTTGTGATAGATCAATGTAAGTGACAATTCATTGTATTTAAAGGAAGATTTAATGAAAGTCTCTATCCCCAAAGAAAAGCTCAGGTAAATAGTTGTGGGTTAGTGAATTCATGGTTACTCTTTACTCTAATCATGTGTATAATCCTGCCTCCTTACCTCTCACTCCTGGTTTATGGCCTTATTGTGGACTTAAATTATCAGAAGAGAGGGCGAGAGGGAACATATCAAATCTCAGGGAACACTGTACAAAAGTAACCATAGAGATAGGTGTGTGGATTCAACTGTAGTGAAAGCTGAATAGTAAAAAATGTAGTCTTTGTTTAAGTTGCACTCTGTAATATGATCAGAACATTAAATCAGAGATGGGGTAGAAAATTAAAAGTCAGTTACCTGGAGCTTTCTGTCAAAGGGACTTAAAGGAGTGATTTTCTTTCCCCAGGGAGTAGAGTATTTGAACTATTTGTAAATTAGCATTCCTTGCATGTGACTCAGAGCAGCTCCTGTATGTTAGCCAAGTAGGTGTTCAAAATACATTTGCTCACTTGCTTCAATTTGGGCTGGGCATATAAAATCCAGTTTTATATGCTCAGTTCTACTGAAGCTTCTTATAGAAATGTAGAAAGCACATGAAACATAAAGAATTTTAACTGCTGTTCTTAAACTTCAAGACTCAATTTGTAATGATTGCTACTTAGAATTAGTACAGTAGATTTTCTTTGCAACGATTCCTTTCCTTATTCTTTTTTATTTTATAAAATTATCTAGTGTTCCATTGTGGGCCTAAGCTATACCCAACTCAGAACTTTGGGGACTAGGGCAGGCATCAGGAACTCTCTCTGTCTGAGGATCCTCAGGACCTCAAGGGTAGGGTGCATTTGGGTATTGATGGTCAGATACTGAAATATCCCATCCCCAGAGGAGAGGAGGGGGATAGATGCCCAAGAAAGCAGGAAATTCACCCTAAGCTAGGTGAACATTATCCTCTGATGCTGCGGGAGAATTGATGTGAAGGAATGCTTTGGGTATCATACTCAAGTGTCCTCTTGCCCAGTCCTTGTGGAAACTTGCCTCAAACAACTTGAAAAGGAAATGGTAAGCTGACAATGCAAAGATCCCTCTGGGAAAATCAAAATATGATTGTGGGTTCTTTAACACAGGACCATCCAAGATTAGCCAAAGGAGCCGTAACCACTTGCAGAGGGGAAAACAAGTATCTCCTTTAATTCAGAAGCAGCTGAAAACTGGGATGGAGCAGAGTCCCGAGGGTGGGGCAAGTGGAGAGGAACAAGACTCTCAACATGGCAGTTCAGAGACAGCACCATTAGAAACAACACTCTGACATCTAGAAGCCAAAAATGACAACAGCAACTAAGGAAGAGTTGAGTTACGTGGGATCAAGGGGAAATGAGGATTCAGGAGACTTATCATCTGGCCCTTGATTGTCCTTTGTGGCCCAGGAGAAAGAAGGATGACAGTAGACAACCATTGTAGT